CATAGGTCCAGTGACTCAGCAGCTCTTCAGCAGCAAATACAATGTTTTAAGTGCCTTATACAAATGTGGCACTAGATGGCAATGGTGAGCTTATGGCAAATTCAATATATTTTTCAAAACGTTTTTTAAAAAAGCGTTTTCACAGCGTTTTTTAATATATGTCTAGATTCCACCCAGGAATCAGAACAGGAAAGCATGGGAGTTTAAGACACAATGTTATAGGCAGTTCTCATCCTACTCAGAGTAGACCCGTTGGAGCCTAAGTTACTCTGCACTGGAAACCTGCATATGTGAATTTCACAAACTGATTGGAAGTCAATTAGTGAGATCGCTACACCTGTCCTTGATATTCTACTGCACCCTTTCCCAATCTGATGCTCTCCAGAAATTTTGGACTTCAATTGGGTTTTGAAACATAGCTGCCTGGAGCTAATGGCACCAGGTTTGTGAAAGCTGTTCTAGTGCAACTCAGCTATGTCATCTGATCCTGAGGGATCCATTTCCACCTTATTTAATTTACACGCTCTTACTATACTGAAATATTTAAAAGTGGAAGCCCGTCAATGCTGAAACAACTGAATGTTTTGAATCCACGAAATATGCTTGGCCTTATCTTTATTTTGTTTGCTTTCATTTCTGGCCACACTGGAAATTTGCAACTACAAGGAGAAGATTGTGAGAATGAGTTTAATTGCACAAGAAGACAAAGAAACCCTTCGACATGCCCAGCAGGTATAAATTAGCCTAATAATGATTTGTCGGTTTGCTTTTTAAGCTGCACTTGTTTGTTGTGTTTGCTAGATTTTTCTTCAGCGATGCCCAACATGGTGATAACAGAATGAATGATGTAAGGAGGGGGTTGCAGCCCAAGATAGGAAAAGAGGTAGTAAGGGAACACCTAGCTCCTTTAAATGAATTCAGATCTCCAGGGCCTGATGAGCTGCATCCAAGGGTAATAAAGGAACTTGCAGGTGTAATTCAGAGCCTTTGTCTAATATCTTTAAGAATTATTGGAGAACAGGTGAGGTCCCTACAAACTGGAGGCAGGCAAATGTTGTCCCCATCTTCAAAAAGGAGAGAAAGAAAGACCCAGGTAACTACCAACCAGTGAGCTTATCGATACTAGGGAAGGTCCTAGAACAGATAATTCAACGATCGATCTGTGAGCATTTAGAAAAGAATGCTGTGATTACTAAGACCCAACATGGGTTTCTCAAAAATAAGTCATGCCAGACCAAACTGATTTCTCTTCTTGATAGAATTACTGCATCTTGGTTTCAGTAAGGCTTTTGACAAAGTCCCCCACTATATTCTTGAAAGGAAGCTGGTAAAATGTGGGTTGAACGAGGTAACTGTTAGGTGGATTTGTAGCTGGTTGACTGACCGAACCTAAAAAGTACTCATGAATGGTTCCTCATCATGCTGGGGAAAAGTGACAAGTGGGGTGCCGCAGGGTTCTGTCCTGGGCCAGTTGTTGTTCAATGTCTTTATAAATGACTTGGGTGAAGGAATTGAGGGGATGCTCATCAAATTTGCAGATGACACCAAACTGGGAGGGGTAGCTAATACCACAGAAGACAGAATCAGAATTCAAAATGACTTTAACAGATTGGAGAACTGGGGGCAAGCTAACAAAATGAATTTCAGTAGGGACAAACGAAAGATTCTGCAGTTAGGCAGGAAGAACCAGATGAACAAATATAGGATGGGGGACACCTGGCTTACTAGCAGTACATGTGAAAAGGATCTAGGGGTCTTGGTGGACCACAAGCTTAATATGAGTCAACAGTGTGATGCAGCAGCAAAAAAAGCTAATGCTATTCTAGGCCGCATCAACAGAAGTATAGTGTCCAGATCAAGGGAAGTAATAGTACCACTCTATTCTGCCTTGGTCAGACCACACCTGGAACACTGTGTCCAATTCTGGGTGCCACAATGTTGACAAGCTGGAACGTGTGCTGAGGAGGAGGGCAACCAAGATGGTCAAAGGTGTGGAAACTAAGCCTTATGAGGAGCGCTTGAAGGAGCTGGGTATGTTTAGCCTGGAAAAGAGGAGATTGAGAGGAGATAGGATAGGTAAAGGGACCCCTGACCATTAGGTCCAGTCGTGACCGACACTGGGGTTGCGGCGCTCATCTTGCTTTACTGGCCGAGGAAGCCGGTGTACAACTTCCGGGTCATGTGGCCAGCATGACTAAGCCGCTTCTGGCGAACCAGAGCAGCACATGGAAAGGCCGTTTACCTTCCTGCCGGAGCGGTACCTATTTATCTACTTGCATTTTGACATGCTTTCGAACTGCTAGGTTGGCAGGAGCAGGGACCGAGCAACGGGAGGTCACCCCATTGCAGGGATTTGAACCGCCAACCTTCTGATCGGCAAGTCCTAGGCTCTGTGGTTTAACCCACAGCGCCACCCACATCCCATGGAGATAGGATAGTCATCTTCAAATATCTTAAGAGCTGTCACATGGAGGAGGGAGCATGCTTGTTTTCTCCTGCTCTGGAGGGTAGGACTCGAACCAATGGCTTCAAGTTGCAAGAAAGGAGATTCCGACTAAACATTCGGAAAAACCTTCTGACAGTAAGAGCTGTTCAGCAGTGCAACAGTCTCTCACGAGAGGTGGGGGACTTTCTTTCCTTGGAGGTTTTTAAATAGAGGTTGGGTGGCCATCTGTCAAAGATGCTGCAGCTGAGATTCCTGCATTGCAGGGGGTTGGACTTGCAGCTCTAAGATTCTATAACTCTGTGAAATATTTGAATGATTGCTTGACTGAACTGCATAATTTAAAAACCAATAAAACAAAAAACCTCACCATGCCTTTAACATCCTAGTAACAACACAGATTTTTCATTACCCATGTAGGTTAAGAGCCAAACAGAAAATTTCAGATAAATTACATATTGCATTTATGGCCTTGAGGAGTTGAAGGGTCTTTGTTTTGCTGCTGAGTGATTGATGTGCTGTTAACCTTACAAAGCAAGGGTGATATCCAATGCATCACAGGCAACTGAAAGTTTCCAACTGCAATCCTCATCCAGAGTCCATCCTTTGAAGGTAAGTGCTCCATAACATTACCTGTCAACATCCCTGTATTCATCCCGATTTCATGTCATGCATTTTGCTTTCAGGTTTTTTCTGCCTGGGTAGCGATTCAACCCCTTTCCCGTGCCCAGAAGGCACCTTTCGCTCAACAGGAAGGTCTCCCTCCCATTCATGTGTTGCCTGCCCTGTGAACTTCTTCAATGCTAAGCTGGGCCAAGCAGCTTGCTTCCCATGTGGTTCGGAGGCTGTGCAGCCCAAGGAAGGTCAAAGAACATGTGTCTGCCTTCGGGAAGGCCGAGTGTTCCAGGTAACTGCAGGCTGAATAGCTGGGTCAGCTGGAAGCGCTCTCATCCTCTATGTATTTGTCCAAGCACCTTCCAAAGTCAAGTAAAAGAGTAGCCATGACTGCATCTAAAGGTAAAGGTAAAGGGGCCCTTGACCATTAGGTCCAGTCGTGACCGACTCTGGGGTTGCGGCGCTCATCTCGCTTTAGTGGCCGAGGGAGCCAGCGTACAGCTTCCGGGTCATGTGGCCAGCATGACTAAGCTGCTTCTGGCAAACCAGAACAGCGCACGGAAACGCCGTTTACCTTCCCACCAGAGCGGTATCTATTTATCTACTTGCACTTTTGACATATTTTCGAACTGCTAGGTTGGCAGGAGCAGGGACCGAGCAACGGGAGCTCACCCCCTCACAGGGATTCGAACCACCGACCTTCTGATCGTCAAGTCCTAGGCTCTGTGGTTTAACCCACAGCGCCACCCGCGTCCCCTATATGACTGCATCTGGTGGCCTTAAATTCCACAAACCACTTAAAAGGATGTCCTGCCTTTTGCCCATCCTTGAACCTCCCACCAAATGCTTCCACTGGATGTCCCCGAATTCTAGTGCTAAGAGAACACCTTCTCCCTAGCACATTCTCCATCCCATGCATAATTTTATAAACTTTGTCAATATCCTCCCACTTCCTAGTGGGAAAGGTTCCTTTTCAAGCCAGAATACTGCTCCATAGATCATAGAATCATAGAGCTGGAAGGGACCACAAGGATCATCTAGTCCAATCCCTTGCAATGCAGGAATCTTTCACCCAATGTGGGGTTTGAACCCACGGCCCTGAGATAGGGGGTGGATCTACACACAGGGGGGAAATGCTATAAATAAGTCAGAAATTAGATTGTTATAACCAAAGGGGGGAAAACCTATGGAAAATCATGTATGAAAATTTCTTGCTCTCTGATGCCATCTGGTGTTGCATCTTTATAGCGCATTCAAATCATTGCTTCTTTACTTAAGTAGCTGAGTCCTAAGAGTCTCATGCTCCATATAACTCACTATTGTCTACACTGACAGCAGCTCTACAGGGTTTCAGGCAGGGCTTCCTAGCCCTCCCTGGAGGTGCTTTGAATTGGAGGTGGATTGAACCAGGCACCTTCTACATGCAAAACAGATGCCCTGCCCCTGAGCTATAGTCCCTCCCTTAAGCTATAGGAACATAGGAAGCTTCTTTATACCAACTCAGACCATTGGTCCATCCAGCTCAATATTGATGATGTTGACTAGCAGGCAATTCCCAGCACTTCCTGGAAATGCCATAGATTGAACCTTCCTCTAAAATAAAATGCCGCAAACTTTGTAGCCTTTCCCCATAGGGAAAGATGCCCTGTGGTTTGGGTCATTTTGGTTACCTTTTTTTAATTCTAGAGGAACACACCTTCCTTCCTTCCTTCCTTCCTTCCTTCCTTCCTTCCTTCCTTCCTTCCTCTCTCTCTCTCTCTCTCTCTTTCTTTCAAATTAAGAATAAATCAAGAAAAGTGGTGTGAATCACTGAGCTAACAAAAATAAATAAATGCAAAACACAGGCATCGTATTCTCATTGCAGCCTAGTGATGCCCAATGCCCGTGTGCCCCTGGGTATAAAAGCCCTGTAGAAGACCGGAGATGGGACTGCGTCAAGCAGATGTATGACATCTGTAGAGATGGTGCTGTCCGGAACGAAGAGGGGCAATGCTTAACTCAGGAAGGATGGAGCCACTACTGCTCAGACAAGGTACTGCAAGTTATGTCTTAACACAAGTCAGCCAGTTCCCACTGAATGGCTGTGAGTAATGCTTGGGGTTGTTTTTTTAAAAGTCTAAATTCTCTTGCTTCGTTTTGGGTAACTGATCTTTCCAGCTTTGCCCATTTCCAGTCAGTTTCCCTTCATCTGAAGTTTCTTAAGCAACCGTGCCCTCAGTTTCGGTAGATTTCCCAAGCGCCAAGCTTGCCAACTGCCAAAGGACACAGCCATTGCTCATGGTAAATTCTGCTGGTGCTGCGGCTTCTCAGTCACAACAATATTACAAAACCTGAAGTGCCAAACAGCTTGGATCTAAGGTCTAGCAAGGCTTTAGATTTCAGCTAGGTCGCTGCTCAGGTTTTTCAGGATTTCCTTAGCTCCTAATTAGCACCTTTGACAGCAAGCGGAGCTGGACCGGAATGTACAAAAGAGGAGAGTGTTTCAACTTCCCACCTAAAGATGAATTCAAAGCTGAAGCAGCTACTCCCACACTCATTGTCCTCTGTTCTGAGCACATCTGTCAAGCAGCAGCTCATTTTTCAGAATCTTGATTTGTGGGTGACATTTTCGCTCATGTTTGCAGTGATGTTTACAGTCATTTTTCAGAGGACTGACCAGCAGATCATCGTTCCAAGTCCTAACCTGCGGGTCATGTTTTCAGTCCTTTGTAGGCTTCCTGACCCACAGATCACATTTTCAGTCCTTTTTTTGGAGTCGTGGGTCACCTTTTTGGCCAGTTTCCAGAGTCCTGACAACCAGATGCCCATTACTGAAAGTCCACAAGCAGGATTTAAGGACAACAGCCCTCTCCCACCTTGTGATTCTGAGCAGCAGATATTCTTCTCAGTGAAGGTAGAATGTAGCCTTCCAAAGTCATCCAAGTTGGTGGTCACCATGACTGCCTCCTGTGGAAGTGAATTCTGTAGTTTAATTTTGCACTGTGTAAATATACCCTTTCTTTTGTCTCCCCCAAATCTTCCAGCATTCAGCTTCATTGGATCAGTCCCACTGAGTGCCAGCCCTTACGTTCATCTCACTTTCTCTACTAGGTTTGTGCTCTCCCCAAAGCTTATCAGGGATATGACAAAGTTCTTGGCCTCTGCCTTTGCCAAGCGGACAACCTGGACAGTCTGTGCAACCGCCTGTGCCGAAGACGACAAAGGAGAATTTTCCAATTTGTCAGTGAAAAAGAATCGGCCCGATTTTCTTTGGCCTTCAGAAACGGGAGCCAGGTAAAAAACAAAAAGAACCAGAACTCATCAGCAGAAGTGTAACAGGCTAGGCTCACGCGGGGTTAAAGACCCTTGGCTATTTCTGCTAACAGGTTGCCAGCAGGGTCCCTGTCTCTGGTGAAATAGAGCTGCCCAATCAGCATGAAAGGGGAGAGTTATTAGCCACTGAGAATAATAATAATAATAAATAATACATTTTTATTTATACCCTGCCCTTCCCGGTTCAGAAAACTGGGCTCAGGGTGGCTAACATCAAATTTAAAACACCTAATTGCTGCAACAAAAAAACAGCATAAAATACAGTATAAAATGTGAATAACAATAAATTCAGAATTCAAAAATCAATTTGGGCAGAAATCCATCCAATAAACATTTGATGATCACCAGGGCTAGCTGGCTAAATTAGTCCTATTTGGGCCAGCGAGGAGACCAGGGGAGAATTAGCTGTGGGATCCAGAGCGGGTAATCTTCATAAAAAAGGGAGGGGGAGGGAAGGAAGGGGAATAAAAGATCAGGCTAAGTTCAAATTGAAAGCCAGGCGGAATAGCTCTGTCTTACAGGCCCTGTGGAAGGAAGTTAAATCCTGCAGGGCCCTGGTCTCATGGGACAGAGCATTCCACCAGGTCGGAGCCATCACTAGAAGACCCTGGTGGAGGATAACCTGACTTCCTTAGGGCCCAGGAAGAGGGCATCCCTCCCTTTGTGCTGATTGGAGCCAATCAGAGTGAAAGGCAGTGAGTCAGCCACTGAGGATTGGTTCCTAGGGTCACTCTGGAGAAGGCACTCAGGAAGAACAAGGAGGAATTGTTCTTTATGCTCCAAAGCTCAGCATTTGGGAACAGGGAAAACACAAGATGCTACAGTTTCAAGAGAATGGTGTGCAAGTTTTGTTTCATACAATGGAACTTGGAGGAAAACACAATTTAAATCACTCCCAAAAAAAGGATACTGGAGCATTCTGAATCATGCGCACAGAAAATAATAGAAGTAGCTGAAAGGCAACATGTGAAGATCTGTATTGATTGTTGCAATGCACTCCTCATTATTATTATTGCGTTAGGTTATTGCATAATCTTAGATTTATAATCTTAGAAGGGGGTGTGGATGCAAGGAAGCATAGCCATGACTATTATGGAGTGATCCTGCACTTCTGAATTTGTCAGTACATTGCTGATCATAAGCAACTTGTTTTGTTGGGAAGCTGCATTGACAAGGCAGGTGTGGGGTGGGTTAGTAGGCCAACATCCTCCCACCTGCCTTCCCAATGGTCTTGTTGCTAAGGCTGTGTGCAGACTCTTGTTTGCACTGCACCCAATGCGCTCTCATCGTGGAACTGAGAAGAGATGCACAAACAACACTAGCCACAGTCCATATCTATTCTGTCATTTCTTAGGAAACACTGTGTTCTGATGCACTTTCCCTCAAACCAACGTCAACATGAACTGAGAAAAAGAGTGACCTAGTTGTGGCTTTATAGCAGTAATGTGCAAACAGCCTTTGTCTCTCTGCCACTGATGCTGCTTGGTTGCAACCCTGCTTTTCATTGGGGTGAAGCGTCAATGGCACTCAGGCCAGATCAAGACTTTCCACTGCCTGAAGCCAACAACAAGATAGCACCCCATCCCACATCCAGGTGAACCAGCAAAGTCCAATAGCAACCAGAGGACCACAACTTATGCAGCCCTAATGTAGAGGTTCCTTTTGGCACCCCTGCATATTGTTGCAAAATGTACTTTAGCTTTAGCCAGTTCCATTGTGTACATCCAAACTGATGGCCCATCAGTGCAAATACTGGCAGGATGTGAAGCCTGGGCTCTGAAGACTTCTCCTCTCAATTCTTTATAGCTTGACGTTTTATTGGAAGAGATAAGAGCGTCGCTGCAGCTGTTAGATTTCCACACGCTAAATGGGTGCACCTCAGAGGAGAACAAGAAATCGTGTCCTGTATACGTGGTAAAAACAAGTGGTAAGGGACAAGTTCTGTCCTTTTGATTTATGGATTGCATTTATAACGCCTTTTCCCTCCAAATAGCTCAAGGTAGCGTACCTGGCGACGCGGGTGGCGCTGTGGGTTAAACCACAGAGCCTAGGACTTGCTGATCAGAAGGTCGGTGGTTTGAATCTCCATGACGGGGTGAGCTCCCATTGCTCGGTCCCTGCTCCTGCCAACCTAGCAGTTCGAAAGCACGTCAAAGTGCAAGTAGATAAATAGGTACCACTCCAGCAGGAAGGTAAACAGCGTTTCCGTGCGCTGCTCTGGTTCGCCAGAAGCAGCTTAGTCATGCTGGCCACATGACCTGTACACCGGCTCCCTCGGCCAATAAAGCGAGATGAGTGCCGCAACCCCAGAGTCGGTCACGACTGGACCTAAAGGTCAGTGGTAACTTTAGCGTACCTGGCTCCATCCACCCTCTCCATTTTATCTTCAGAACAACCCTGTGAGTTAGGCTGCACTGAGAGACAGTGATCAGCTCAAGGTCACCTAGTGATCTTTATGACAGGGGAAATTTGAACTCAGGTCTCCCAAATTCTAGTTGGATGCTGGAATGACAGCATCACACCCGATCTCTCTCTTAATCCTGTTTGATTAATATTCTGCCTTCCCTAATATTACTCTGTGTGTGCGTTGTGCATTTTCCTGTTTCCTCTGTTTCCTGACAGCATAGCAGAAGACTGATTTAAGCGCACAATTTAGATATGTCTGTCATTACCTAAAGAAACTCCACTGCTGTTTTTGGCTTGTACAAATAACCGTATTTGGCTTGGTGTTTGATTTCTACAGACAAATGTGGTAAATCAAAAGCAATTCATTTGCCAGTTGGCCTCGAAGCTCCAGAGATAAAGTGATTGTGTTTTATTTATTTAAAAACATTTTTAGACTGCTCGTCTTGCAAAGCAGATCTAGAGAGTGGGTTCGAAGTAAAGTGTAGTAAGAACAAACATAGACAAGAACAAAAAAAAGAAAAGAAAAAGATGAACGACAATTACTTAGGGGAGAGTTCTCATTGAAAGTCAAAACGACTTCATACTTTCCAAAACAACACAAGAACCAAAACACAGCCCATTCTTCAAAATTCACACTTTTATAAATATTGCAGTGCAGGTGTCCAGCCAAGCGGTATGTACAAAAATACATATATGGTGACAAAATGTCCATAAAAATGCATATATTGGTGAAAATAACATATACGAAAATGCATTGTTTTAATGGAAATTGTTCTGCAAAAACATATAACACAAAATTGCATACAAATGTTCATATTAGGAGGAAATTGTTAAGTTGTGGGTGAACATATCAGATGACACAGCAATTCTTCAAACAGCTCTTGTTTATTCACAGGCCAGGATAGAACTGAACTGAAGGGTTCAGTCAGCCTGCTTATATAGAGTTCCAGTACAACGCTACTATAACAACTTTCTAAAACTATCCAATCACTGAACGTCACTTTCGATCCCTTATTTGCATAACTATCTACAGTATCCCCCTGCTGGCCCAGGGTGAGAACTTCAGCACATAACAGAAATTATATTAAAATGCAAACTGGTGTGGAAATGTGAAGTGCTGAGATACCAGGGGTTGAACCTTCTGCATGCCAAGCAGCACTCCTCCATTGCATTAAATGTCTTGCAATGAAATATCCTTTTGCCAGGCTTACCCTGGCCCTTCAGATCAGACCCTGTTGTTGTTTTATTATTATTTGTTTGAATTATCTGAATTGCTTTTATACTGCCGCTTTTACTGGCTTCATGTTGTATTTTTGTTTTAATTATATTTTAAATTGATTTTAAGTTGCACACTGCTCAGAGATTATTTTTCTTTAAAATTAAGCGGTTGATTAATACTTTAAGAACAAACTAAATAACAAGTCCGCTCACCTCTCTTGGTGTGGCAGCATTGCTGGACGGAAGAGGTTTCACTGGGGTACCGACGGTGGAATTTAAACGGCAGTGTCCTTCCTGATAGGCGGTGAGGGCATAAGCCCCCGCCACCTATCAGAAGCCAGATCCTAGCCTGCACCCTGTATTGGCCAATGGGGATGCAGGCTGGGACGTGGGCGGAGCCAGGGGCGGAGCCGATGGTGGGCTTCCCTCAAGGTTGTAGTCCCCGCCTGCCCCTCCAAACATTGGGGTATCCTGTTAAAGCAGCATTTCTCAACCTGTAGATCCCCAGATGTTGTTGAACTACAACTCCCATCACCCCTAGCTAGCAAGGCCAGAGCTCAGGGATGATGGGAGTTGTAGTCCAACAACATCTGGGGACCCACAGGTTGAGAAACGCTGTGTTAAAGGGATCTAGGGGGAGTGTCCATGTCTGCGTACCCAGGGGGGCCAGGGCTGAAGGCTCTCCCCCAGATGGCAGTCCCTGCGGGGGTCACCCTATTGGGTGTAAGTCTTAGGAACCCCCGCCTGGATTGACCACACGTCACTTTCAGCTGGTGGGCCGGAAGTATTTAGATTGCTTCATGCCCAAGCCAGACTTCTTTCATCTGTACAGTGGTACCTTCGTTCTCAAACTTAATCCGTTCCGGAAGTCTGTTCCAAAACCAAAGTGCCCCAAAACCAAGACGCCCTTTCCCATAGAAAGTAATGCAAAACAGATTAATCCATTCCAGACTTTTAAAAACAACCCCTAAAACAGCAATTTAACATGCATTTTACTATCTGATGAGACCATTGATCCATAAAATGAAAGCAATAATCAATGTACTGTACTATAAAATAAATAAAACAGTATTGTAGATGATGAAAATTAAAATTATTATTTTTTCTTACCTGCACTGATGATAGTCATTGTTTGGCTTTTATCCATTTCCACAGTAGCACGATCAATCAATCAGTAGCTGAACTGGGTTCCACATAGTCACAAAAACAAATTAACCGAAAAAGCCTCAAAAACAAAAACGCAAAATAAATCGCAAAAACAGAAGTGCCAAACTTAATCTATTCCGCAATTCCGTTTGACTTCCAAAATGTTCAAAAACCAAGGCACAGTTTCTGATTGGTGCAGACACCCCAGAAACAATAGCCAACAGCCGCATCAGATGTTCGGCTTCCAAAAAACGTTCGAAAACCGGAACACTTACTTCTGGGTTTTCGGCATTTGAGAACCAAGGCGTTTGAGTACCAGGGCATTTGAGAAGCAAAGTACCACTATATTCAATGAAGTTGTGGCCTGTTTTTACCCAAAACCCAGTCTTATTGGTCTCTTATTTATATGGGTTTGAGTATGGGAAGTCCAATGCCTGGTCATGCAAGTAAATATGCAAAGAAGTTTGTTGCTGCATTGGAAATTGTGGATACAAACAAACCTGGATGACTGCAGATCACCTAGAAGAAATCTAGGCAGAGAGAGCAGGCCTATGACCTTTGGTTTATTTGGTTTTTTTCAATGTCATTACAGGAAGAGGATTCCTGGGGGTGTACTATCCTGAACCAGAGCTCCTACACTACTTCCTTACCTCAAATGCGGTTCTATTAGACTCCCAAAATAGATTGCGCTCCATGACAGCTACAGGTATTATATACTGTGCTTTTTTTTCTGGTAGTACTCAACAGTATGCTTGTACACCACCCAGTTGGAATTGCCTGTTGACACAAGCATGAGCCCACACAAGCGCTGAGCAGATTCCTAAAGCTCTTTTCATGTGCAAATCTTCAGTTGTATGCAGATCCTGCTTCACTTGGTTTTTATGTTCACACAGGGACATCTAGAGAAGAAGATTTTGCATTTTACAAGTCCTGGCCCCAGCAACCTTCTGATTCTACACTGAAAATGACGTTCAGTGGCATCCTCAACCCTACTACATGCCTCAAGATTCACGATATTGTCATGTTCATTGTTTCTAAAGATCATTATCCAGTTTATGATGTGTAAGTAAGCATTGTGGTGGGGAGGCCTCGTTCGTGCATTCTGAACAACGTGCAAACCGAAACACAGCCATTCTTTGAAATTCACACTGAATTTTGCAATGCAGTTCTCCAGTCAAATAATGTGTACAGTGGTACCTCGGGTTACATACACTTCAGGTTACATGCGCTTCAGGTTACAGAATCCACTAACCCAAAAATAGTACCTCAGGTTAAGAACTTTGCTTCAGGATGAGAACAGAAATCGTGCTCTGGCGGCACGGCACAGCGTCAGCAGGAGGCCCCATTAGCTAAAGTGGTGCTTCAGGTTAAGAACAGTTTCAGGTTAAGAACGGACCTCTGGAACGAATTAAGTACTTAACCCAAGGTACCACTGTACAAAAATGGGTCTACTAGCATAAAGGGTGCATACAAATACATATTACTAATGAAAGGAACGTACAAAAATTGCCTCAAAATGTATTTATTTCATAAAATTTATATACAGCTGGATTGTAAACAACAACAACAAACTCAAAGCAGAAGAACAAAACAATGCAATTATCAGTTAAAAACAACTATATAAAACATTCAAAAACAATTAAAATCCATGCTAAGCTAAAAACCAGATCAGAGTGTGATGCTGATAATGCCAAGGTTGCTGGTTCGATCCCCATGTGAGAAAACTGCATATTCCTATATTTCAGGGGGTTGGACTAGATGATCCTAAGAGTCCCTTCCAACTCTACAATTCTATGATCATCATTCTACAGGTCTGAACAGGCTTGACTAAACAAATATATTTTTATTGGGTGCCTGCCTCATGTCAATAAGGGAGTTCTGAAGTATGGGTGCTCCCACAGAGTTAGCCATGGGGAAACTTACTTGCACAGTTAAATATACTCCCATGGAGAAGTTAAAGCAGATGTTTTGCTGAGATGGCGCTTGGATGGTAAATGTACATTTTTCCATCAGAAGATCCCTGCTGGATTACATCAAAGGCCTATCTAGCTCTGCATCCTGTTTCACAATCAGCTTCATCGTATGACCCCCAGTTCCACGATTATGCATGGCAAATAAAAACGGCTACCCACTTTCTTAACTCCGTGCATCATTTGTAATGGCACCCTCACCCCATCCCCGGACTTCCTTTTTTCTAAACTAGAAAGTCCCAGATATTTTAACCATTACTCATATGGAAGTTGTTCCACACACCTGATCATTTTGGTTGCCATTTTCTGAGCAGGTAATTATCAACACAAATATTGTCAACACAGAATGTCCTTCTGTTTCCTGTGATCGGTAAAACTGATATAAATGGATAGCAGCTTCCCTAATACGTAAATTCTGTTTAATCTTGCATCGCTGTCCTGTCTGTCGCGCGGAGGACGGAAGCACAGTTAAAACTGCAAGTACCATTTTTGGAATCGAGATAATTTGGGCAGCCAACATGTTTCTCTTGTGTCTTTCCTTAGCAACAGCCTGTACAATACAAACCACGAGTTTGACTGGGGAGGTTTCCGCAGCCTAGCAGAAGAAGCTAAGTTGGCCTCAGGCTCCGACAACTTCCTGCTCTTCTTTTACCAGTTCCATGATCCCGGAACTTATGTCTTGAGGCTAAGTAGCAACCAGCACAAAAGAATGGTTTGTTTCAGGTCCTGGCATGTTTGCTTACAAAAGAGAGTTTCCAGTGAGGTGCATTCATTAGTCTGATAAACATTTGCAATGGGTGGTGTGTCTCATCTGTGGGAGGGATGGGTCATTGGTTCAGCAGCTTAATCCTTAGTTTACATAACTTTTGGGCCACCTTTCAATATAAAACTCGTGGCACAGATCATAAAAGAAAACAGCAGAACTACAAAAGCAAATATCAGAGCACAGAAACAGCGGCCCATCAAACTAACAAAGTCTAGCCCAACTCCGCCATAAAACTAAAAAGAAGCTCTAGAACAGGCTGAGACACATGGGTAAATTTTTAGAAGGATCTGCTTGGCACCAAAACAATAGGATGAGCACTAGGGAAACTTCCTGAGGGGCTACAACCACAAAGGTCCTTTCTGCCATCATCACCCTCCCAATGGCCTCAGTCCAGTAGACCTGAAGGAGGGTCTCCACCCCCATCGTTCTGCCCGGACACTGAGGTCCAGTGCCGAGGGCCTTCTGGCGGTTCCCTTGCTGCGAGAAGCCAAGTTACAGGGAACCAGGCAGAGGGCCTTCTCGATAGTGGCACCCACCCTGTGGAACGCCCTCCCACCAGATGTCAAAGAGGAAAACAACTACCAGACTTTTAGAAGACATCTGAAGGCAGCCCTGTTTAGGGAAGCTTTTAATATTTAACAGACTATTGTATTTTAATATTCTGTTGAAAGCCGCCCAGAGTGGCTGAGGAAACCCAGCTAGATGGGCGGGGTATAAATAATAAAATTATTATTTATTATTATTTACATCAGATGAGGGACGTGGGTGGCGCTGTGGGTTAAACCACAGAGCCTAGGACTTGCTGATCAGAAGGTCTGCGGTTCGAATCCCCGTGACGGGGTGAGCTCCCGTTGCTCAGTCCCTGCTCCTGCCAACCTAGCAGTTCGAAAGCACGTCAAAGTGCAAGTAGATAAATAGGTACCACTCCGGTGGGAAGGTAAACGGCGTTTCCATGCGCTGCTCTGGTTCGCCAGAAGCGGCTTAGTCATGCTGGCCACATGACACGGAAGCTGTACGCCGGCTCCCTCGGCTAATAAAGCGAGATGAGCGCCGCAACCCCAGAGTCGTCCACGACTGGACCTAATGGTCAGGGGCCCCTTTACTTACATCAGATGAAGGGGAGGGACCCAGAAGACTATCCTCATATGAGGATCCAGGCTGCTTTGCAAAGAAGGAGGCAACCCTCCAAGTAGCCAGGTCTGTATTTTAGTGATTCCATTCTCCACCTTCCCTGGAGGTGGGGAAATCATTTTTCAGGCCAAGGGTGAGATTCCAGAGGTGGGGCAACATGCCAGTAGTAGAAAGGGCTAGAGGCAAAATAGGTGTGGCTAGAAGCAAAATGTGGGCAAGGCCTGCGACTCTTGCTTTTGCACAGCAGCCCACATTCCAGCAAACCTTGTGCTCCGTTTGGACCAATGGCCTCAGCAGGACATGAGAGGTCAGTAGTACCATGGACAGCTCCATGCATGACTCAGGCTGGAGACTCCAACAGAGCAGAGATCAAATGTTGCTTCAGCACCAGCCAACCTACCAGACAAGTAGAAGCTGCAGCTCTTGTCTATGTCTGTCTTTGGTGAGAGACGCCTACTCATTTTAAGGGGTACAGCCTGGCTCCGAATGAGTGGAACTAGGGCAGGCATGAGGAACCTTTTTCAGACTGAGGGTCATCTACCCTTCTGTGCAACCTCCCAGGGGCCACATGCATATACAATGTGTGGATTTGTGAACATGTATGTAAGAAATAGGGATGCAGGTGGCGCTGTGGGTTAAACCACAGAGCCTAGGACTTGCCGATCAAAAGGTCGGCAGTTCGAATCCCCGCGATGGGGTGAGCTCCCATTGCTCGGTCCCTGCTCCTGCCAACCTAGCAGTTCGAAAGCACAAAGTGCAAGTAGATAAATAGGTACCACTCTGGTGGGAAGGTAAACGGCGTTTCCGTGCGCTGCTTTGGTTTGCCAGAAGCGGCTTAGTCATGCTGGCCACATGACCCGGAAGCTGTATGCCGGCTCCCTCGGCCAATAAAGTGAGATGAGTGCCGCAACCCCACACGACTGGGCCTAATGGTCAGGGGTCCCTTTACCTTTACCTTTATGTAAGAAGTGCGTTGAAGTGGGGGTCCAGCTATGGAACTGGTCATCTCATCTTAGGACCAAACAAGATGTGGTGTTAAATACATCTTTGCATTTATTGTGCAGCGTCTTGGCTGTTTGTTTGTTTGTTTGTTTGTTTGTTTGTTTGTTTGTTTCATTTTAAGAGGAAATTATATCATGCCCAATAATTACTGGAATCCCAGCAGGTGTGGAAGGGGGAAATTAACCCCTTCTCTCCCCTGCTGAGGTCCTGAAGAAAATAATTCCTTTAAAACCGGTAACTGAATTGGGAAGAAATCCGCCAGTTTGTACTGCCCCTCCCCTCCATACAAAATAAATTCCAGCGGGGGGGGGAGTATTTTCCTCAGCATCCTAGCAGGGAGGCAAGGTTAAGTTTCCACTCCAGACTTGGTGGGATCTGAAATAATTATCGCACAGACCTAGTTTATTAAGTTTCCATTTAATAATCCCCCCCAAAAAACTCTTCCTGGTAAATGCAAGTATGTGGGGGGGGGACGACAGGATTTATATGATGTTTAAAAATCAAAACCTCTTAGAGGTTTACATTAAAATTACCCATGATAAATCAGATATCAAAGCAAGCTAGCTGAAAAAAAATCACAATGAAATCAGCGGTCTTGAAGCTAAATGTTACAAAACACAATTACATGATGTATACATCTCATCTGGTCCTTACAGACTTCCCTTTCTGCGTTTGTGGCTATGTGTGAATCTTCCTCCTTTGTGCCTCTGACCTGGGTTCCCTGTGTCTATCTGTTCCTTTCCCGAAGTATGTCAGAGTCATGCCGTATGGTGGGCAGTGTTACGACGAGGGTCCCTTCTTCCCAACAACTCCCAGACACATGGTGCAAGTGGGGGTTGCCAGGATCCCAGACCTTATTCTGAAACCTGACTGGCGAGCAATTATTGGGATTATATTCGGAGTCGTCTTTCTCCTCATTGTTTGCCTGCTACTGATTGTGAGTAAATGAAAGACAAGGGGAGGCAACTACCCCCTAATTTTGTGCATTTGTAGGCCTTATTCACACATTACACTGACCACAGGTGCAAGCTGTCTCTATACATGTACAAGTCTTTGTGAGAAAGAGTGAACACTTGCTGATTTGTACAGCACAGTTATTGTATACACAGGTACACAGATTGTACACTTGTTGAATGTAATGTGTGAACTGTGTGTGTGTGTGTGTGTGTGTGTGTGTGTGGTTTTTTCCCCCCCTGGGAATGTGGAAATGTCCCTGCTTCCTGTAAGTACTTTTCTCATGAATTTTTCAGACTTTTTGCCAAACCTTTGGCCTGTCCAGGAAAGGAAGCCCTTCCCCATGGTTCCGAAGATTACAGCTGAAATATAATATAGACAAATATTCCTCCAAAGAATCCACAGTCCTTACCCTCAGAAAATATCACCCAGGAATGCAGCAAGCAGGCAGTTTGGAAAAGAACTTCAGCCACATGGAGAAAAGAGAAGGTATGAATTATCTTTTACAGTATATGATACAGACACTGCACATAAATAAAGAACCAAATCGTGTTTGATGGGTGCATCCATGGAGGACTGCTTCTTCATGAGAGGTACCATAAAATCCTTTCCTTACTGCCAACTAACCTTTGGATTAATTTAGATTTGGGGTCTGTGGGACTCTGGCCCTCCACATGCACTACAGAGCCCATCATCCCTTACTATTGACCATGGTGGTTGGAGCCAATGGGAGTTGGAGTCCTCCAGCAACAATTGGAGGGTCACAGGTTACTTACCCTGCCTTGATAAATATTGGTTTGCACTCGGAGGGGAGGGATATTGTGTTAAGGCATGGAGGATGCTGTTGCAAATGCTACCCCAGAATCCGTGTGATTTTCTTCTTCGCATAATACAGAATGAACTTCAACTTGTGGTGCCTTCCAAATGTTGCTGGACTACAAACTCCATCATGCTGGCTAATTGAATGATAAGAGTTGTTGCTCAACATCAGAAGGGCCACAGGATCATCCCTGTCGCAGGGGATCTGCTGAGCTCATATCAGTGTGATCAATTGACTAGGTTGTTGTTGTTGTTGTTGTTGTTGTTGTTAAGAAACAAGGGATACCTACATTCAAATCCCACTACAGTCAAGAATGGCTTCAGGGTTTGTTTTGTTTTGTTTTGTTCAAAAATTTATATTAGTTTTCCAAATTTATAAAAAACATAAAAGAAAAACATTACCTTACAATAAAAAAAGAAAACAGACAAACATTTATCCTAACTGTTAAAATCCCAATTTTGTTATCATTGTTAGATGACTTCCTCAAATCCCGCTAGCTAAGTTTCTATATAACTCATTGTAGCAGTTTTCCAATACTACTTTCAAATGAGATTAACTTAATCAATTAACATCTTTCTTTCTTTTCATATTGTCTTCTATCCATAATGTTATACAATTTAACATATTTAACTCCTAGGCCACTTTGGTACTTACAGGTAGTTTTACTTATATTATCATAGAATATTTAACTACCGGTAAATAGTCCTTAAATTTCTTCCATTCTTCTTGATACTCCTCCTCTTTCTGTTCGCGGATTCTTCCAGTCAGGTCAGCCAGCTCCAAAAAGTCCATCATCTTCATCTGCCATTCCTCCACTGTTGGTATTTCTTGTAGTTTCCAGTTTTTAGTAACAAAATTCTCAGTGTTTTGTTTTTAACACAAGTCACTATGCTTCGGCCTCAGTTTTCTGTCTGTAGAATGGGAATACAGTAGTATTCTACCTTACAGCCCAGTCTAACAATGCTTACCAGTGGATGGAACTTATCCAAGCAAGTATGTTAGCAATAATTAGTATATATTATGAATGTATTGAGCAGGATATTGTTGCTGTGCTCCTCTACTCTCCTTAACACACACGCCACCTTCACATTCCTCTGTTATTATTACTGTAGCCATGATTATTATTATTACTATTGCTGTTTGTGCTAATATTGCAGCACTCATTTTACCTCTCTTCCTAGGCAAGTGTGAAATATGGGACACGGAAGAACAAATAGATCTGGACTCATTCAATACCAACGCCTTCTTTGAAATCCTGGTCGCGCAGTCTCTGGCAGTTACAGCCAAACTGAGCCAGTTTAAGGAAGAGGTGCCTAGTGGTTGTTTCCTCTGTTTGGATTTTCACCAGCTGAGCTGGTTTTAGAAGTCATTGTCGGGGGTTGGCATCGTGGAAGCAGGAGGGTGGCTCTGCAAGGAGGGAAGCAAGAACAGGCAGTGTGTGAAGAGCTCAGCCTTCACCTGAGGGACTTAGAAGAGCAACATCTTCTAAGCGACATCTGGTGTTGCATGTTTATAACGCATTCAAAACGCTGGGTTTTTTTTTTACTAATGTAGCTGTGTTCTGGGAGTATTAAAGTTCTAGCACCTTTTAGAAATCCCTTCTTTGGGGTCTAAGGAGCCAAAGGGTCCTTCCCTTATTTTAGCACAGGAATAAGGTAACAACATATCCAGATGTTGATGGACTCCAACTCCCATTAGCCCCACACTGCATCTTCTATAGGAGTTGTAGTCCCTCAACATCTGGAGGGCCCCTGGTTTAGCATAGCACCTGAGCCATTTTTAAGAGTACTGTTCCCTCTTCCTCAGTTCTTCCTGCTTTAGACTATTTCTAATAGATTGCTATAACAATTGCATATGTCTTATAGTTGCATGCACAGAGAATATGGGAGCATAAAATGGGAGCCAAGCCCAGCACAACCTGCTCATTTTGCGTGCTTCCTTTCCCTTTGCAGCTGAAAATCTTGTACCATAAACTTCTGGATGAAGCAGCCATGCTCAGAGATCTTTGGCTAGCCAAGCTGTGCATCCCTGACAGAGCTGATCCTTATGATGATGTACTGATGGGGAACTATGTCAAAGCAAAACAGCAGGTAGAAGACTGGATAAATCGAATACCTCTCCAGATGATCAGTTATTTCTGATTAAAGCAGGGGTGGCTGATCTTTCTGGGATCAAGGGCTGCATTGACTTGTGGTCAGGAAACATAGTGTGGGGTTTCTGGGGGGTTGCAAAAAAAAAGTTGTCATCAACCACAGAAGTTATTAGCAATTTATTTTATTTTTTTAAAGCATGCTCTTTGGGCTCCTCCAGACTGGTGATTTTCAACATGCCATTGATGCAACTGTAGTATGTTACTGCTGGATTTATAATGGTAGGTACAAAGGTAAAGGACCCCTGGATGGTTAAGTCCAGTCAAAGACGACTATGGGGTTGCGGCGCTCATCTCACTTTCAGGCCGAGGTAGCCGGCTTTTGTCCACAGACAGCTTTCCATGTCATGTGGCCAGCATGATCTAAACCGCTTCTGGTGCAATGGAAGACTGCGACAGAAGCCAGAGTGCATGGAAATGCCATTTATGTTCCCACCACAGCGGTAGATATTTATGTACTTGCACTGGTGTGTTTTTGAACTGCTAGGTTGGCAGGAGCTGGGACTGAGCAACAGGAGCTCACTCTGTCACGGGGATTTGAACTGCCAACCTTCTGATCGGCAAGCCCAAGAGGCTCAGTGGTTTAGACCACAGCGCCACCTCTTTATAATGGACCATCCATATATCACTCCACTTTATTCATTACTTTGTGATACTTCCCCAGTGTTACCACATTATTGCTGTCTGGAGGCCTGTTCTTGTGCAATAACCCACCAGTAATACACTACAGTTGCATCAGCTTAAGTGGGACAGCAATAATAGAGCAAAGAACCTCATCAGGACCTAGGGAGGATGGCAGCAGCTACTGGGAAAGGCTGAGCTTGAATCAGAAGGGAAGGTTACAGGTGAGGTGAGATGGGACATCTTCATCTGGCCCCGAACTTCTTGACCAGCTCCTGAAGTTTTGATTCCTACAGCCATGTTTGCTACTAAACCTATACTGAATAAAGCTGTCTGTCTTACAAGTAAGAGCCTCTGCCATCATGCTATGCCAGGACAGTGTGAAACAAAAGGAACCGATTTTGTGGATGATGGAATCCATGCCATGAGGGAGAAATTATCTGGTTTCATTTTAATGGGAACCTACGAAATTTGTTCTTCCCAACCTACTTGCAAACTGAAATGCAGGTATACTTCAAAACATTCTGTCCTCTAAAGTTTGTGATGCAGTTCCCCCCCACACACAAAAAAAATGTTTATTAAAAAGCACATACATTATAGTAGGGAAATTTGCTTGCTGAAATGCGTGAATCAGGAGAAATGCATACAAAATATAGCCCTGCTTTCATCTGAATTTTTTTTAAAAGAAAAACGAAAAACACACAAACACATGAGATGGAAGGAAGAGATAACCCCAACCAGAGAAGAATGGCAAATCAAGTTGATGGACTATGCTGAATGGCAAAACTAACTGGGAAGCTCAGGAATCAAGAAGACAAGAAATTTTAAAAAGAATTGGAAATGTTTATAATGTATATGAAAAATCATTGTAAACAGGTCAAAACACCAGCAGGATTTTAAACACACTTGTAATGTAACAGAACATATAGATAATTTAGGAAGATGAAAAACTGGAGAAGTACTGATATGCAGTTGAAAATAGAATCAATAGGACCCATGGAAGGGATGGGGGAAAGTCAGGAGATTCAGAGTAATCTCAGTAATTAGATTGGGAATTGTTTTAGTTGTAGGTTTATATTTTGGAAAATCAAATAAAAATCTGTTTCAAAAAAAGAAAAGAAAAAATGGGGTAAACTGAAGCCTGGAGAAACTGGGAGAAACTGAAATTGCCTGGTTTGGCCATCCCAATTGTGAATGTGTGGATTTAATGTTTCATTAGGCGGAGGAGGAGATTCTGCTCCGAAAGCACCTGGCCACAGAATATGAAGAAAGCGTGAGCAGGCAGCTCCACTTACTGAGCCAGGACATGAAACGACGTGAGGAGCACTGGGTGGCATTTAATTCTGCTCTGCGGGAAGCCATAAGGTTGACAGAGGCCCTGGCGGAGGCTCTGTCTTCTGAGGAAGGTCAAGTCTCAGGCTCTAAATCAGCCCATCACAGGTAAGGGCCATTCTTTGCGACATGTCAAAGCTTCAGTAACATTATGACCTGGCTGTGCATTAAGACTTTATTTCAGTGTGTACTTAATGTGATCTGAGGCAGGGATGTTGAATCCTCAGGCCTGCCCCTCCCAGGACCCCCCCCCACTCCTGGCTTCACATCTCATGGGCCCTGCTTCACACCCTCCTTGAGTGTTTTTGACTGGCTGGGATGCACCCTTGAACCCTGATAATACCTCTTGCCAGCTTTTCTTACTTATGGGGAACTGTTTATATGCAGACCTGACTTTCCTACCTCAGAGTGGATACCCTTGTTGTTGTTTAGTCGTTTAGTCGTGTCCGACTCTTCGTGACCCCATGGACCAGAGCACGCCAGGCACTCCTGTCTTCCACTGCCTCCCGCAGTTTGGTCAAACTCATGCTGGTAGCTTCGAGAACACTGTCCAACCATCTTGTCCTCTGTCATCCCCTTCTCCTTGTGCCCTCCATCTTTCCCAACATCAGGGTCTTCCCTTCTCATGAGGTAGCCAAAGTATTGGAGCCTCAGCTTCACGATCTGTCCTTCCAGTGAGTACTCAGGGCTGATTTCCTTAAGAATGGATCAGTTTGGTCTTCTTACAGTCCATGGGACTCTCAGGAGTCTCCTCCAGCACCATAATTCAAAAGCATCAATTCTTCGGCGATCAGCCTTCTTTATGGTCCAGCTCTCACTTCCATAGTTGATACCCTAAGACCATTTTATTTCTGCTTTTTGCTTCTTATCATGGTGGCTTCAGGTTATTAAGCCTCATCGATGCTGCAAGCAACCAGGTGTCCAGCACTGTCATACAGGAGACTCGTAGGCTCATGGCATGGGGCATCCTGGGAGAAGGAACGGGAGCTCACCTTGTTAACAGAGAGAGAACCAGGCTACTCACCAAGGCGGAGCTTGTAGGTAAATGTAAACTCTTAGCTTCCCAGAGGGGTTTTTCTTCATTGTGCACATCTGCACAATATGTATGCATGATTGAAATTTGTTTAATTGTGATGGCTCCCTCCCCTCCACACGCACACAAAAACGATTCATGGGAAGAGTTGTTCTGTGCAGGTAGAGAATTTGTTGTCAGATATCCCAGCCCAATGATGGAGAACTTGTGGCTATCCATCTGTGGACTCCAACTCAACCAGCCCAAGCCAGCATGGCCAGTGGTCAGGAATGGTGGGAGTTGGAGTCCAACAAAATCCAGAGGGTTACCCATCCCTTGGATCAGGCACCTCCAAACTCGGTCCTCCAGCTGTTTTGGGACTACAACTCCCATCATCCCTAGCTAACAGGACCAGTGGTCAGGGATGATGGGAACTGTAGTCTGGAAAACAGCTGGAGGGCCACGTTTGGGGATGCCTGCCTTAGATGAACTACAGTTGCCAGGAATGCCTGAGGGGCAGCCCCGTCTCTTAAGCAAGTATCCTTTGCAGAAAGTTACTCAGCTGCACCATTGAGTCTGTGTGTATCTTTCCATTGCTCTTCCAGGATCAGATGGCTCTGTGAAGGCGCACGATGTCCTGCACCAGGATGCTACCACTGGACTGATAATGCCCAGCCATGGTGCTGTCATGCTGCTGGCCAATCAGTCCATGGAGCCTGTATCTGCCCACCACTTCCTGCACCCTGACACAGGAAGATTGCTCCCGATAGCTGGGAATGTTGGCTTCGACCCAGTCAACTCTAAGCTGATCCCTGTGGTTGATTTAGCACCTGGTAAGAGCCACGGTTCTTCTATAACTCCATTAATCGGCCCTATGTGGAGGTGCTAGCTTGCGTACTGTTGCTGAACCACCATCACATTGTAACCTGTAACCAATCATGAACTGGTGGTTGCGCAACCCATGCACCTAGAGCTGCCATATGTAGAGGAAGATCATTGGACCATCTGCTCTGAGTTACACCGTTTCCCCAAAGATTTAGATGGGGATCTTTCCACCCAAGGTCCTGTCCTGTCTCCAGCTGGGGGCACAGAGTCCAGGTACACCAAGCCACATACCTACCAGCATCAGCCTGAGATCTAGGAAGCAAAGTCAGCTCAAACAAAGGGCATGTTGCAGCAATGGCAGGTCAGGCAAAGCAGAAAGTAAGTTCAGATCAGCAATGGCAGGCAAAGCAGAGGTCAGCATCCACATGTAGCTGATTGGAAAGGTTCTGCCTACTTTTGCCTCTGACTCCACCCACCAGTGGCACATGGCCCCCTAAAAGGTTGCACAGAGGGAAATGAGAATTGTTACTCCCCATCCCCCAGTCTAGGCTGTGGGAATGTTAAGGATTGTAGGAAAGGATATATTGAATAAATAGTATCCTTCCTTGTCTCGCATTAGTGAGTGATGTAGCAAAGCAAATTCCCCTTAATATAGCTGGAAGCTAATTTGCAGATTTATTTCAATCTCTTGTTTTTGTTTAGTCGTTTAGTCGTGTCCGACCCTTCGTGACCCCATGGACCAGAACACGCCAGGCACTTCTGTCTTCCACTGTCTCCCGCAGTTTGGTCAAACTCATGTTAGTAGCTTCGAGAACACTGTCCAACCATCTCATCCTCTGTCGTCCCCTTCTCCTAGTGCCCTCCATCTTTCCCAACATCAGGGTCTTTTCCAGGGAGTCTTCTCTTCTCATGAGGTGGCCAAAGTATTGGAGCCTCAGCTTCAGGATCTGTCCTTCCAGTGAGCACTCAGGGCTGATTTCCTTCAGAATGGATAGGTTTGATGTTCTTGCAGTCCATGGGACTCTCAAGAGTCTCCTCCAGCACCATAATTCAAAAGCATCAATTCTTTGGCGATCAGCCTTCTTTATGGTCCAGCTCTCACTTCCATACATCACTACTGGGAAAACCATAGCTTTAACTATATGGACCTTTGTTGGCAAGGTGATGTCTCTGCTTTTTAAGATGCTGTCTAGGTTTGTCATTGCTCTTAGTTAAGATTATTTCCTGGTGTCCTGGTGTTCCTCTTCAATCTCTTAGTTAAGGTTATTTCCTGGTGTCCCCTTTTATAGCTCCTAAAAGAATAAAGACACGAAAGTCTTTCTGAGTAAAGTAACAAAACGTTTACTCACATTTCAGTTCACTTTATGATCCCTGAAAGGCAGGCTTTTCTTAGTAGTTACATAAGAGACTGTGAGTTCATCTCATATGGAGATTGAACTCATGTGCTGCTGGCTGAGAGCCAGCAGACAGCAAAATTACATTAAGACAACAAAATGGCTGCAGGAGAGCAGCATGGCAGCAAAAGATAGAACAAGACAACATTGGAACAAGACAACTTCAAGACTAGACTGTGACTGAGAAAAAGGCTGCGTGAATCAGCTCTTTTATGGAGTCAGCCAGGGCCACGCCCATCTCCCAGGTCACATGCAGGGGGAGGAAGCTCCACACCAGTGGAACAGAAAGCTACACTGACTGGATGTCCCCTGGCTGTGCCCACTCTAGGGAAATAAGGAATGTCGCATTTGACTGCATCAGTGGATTATATCCCACATAGACTGTAACCACCTTTGGTTTCTCTGCTTAGGGGAGATTCGTCACTCGGAAGTTCCCATCTTGCCCTATGTCCCATATCCCGTGTGTCTCCACTCTGGCCTACCAGTGAAGACTCGCCTGCCAGTCCTACAGCCTGAGAAAGTGTTTAAATTGGGAGGCCTCATGCAAGACCCAGCGACGGGGATCGAGGTGCCAATACTTGCCGTTACCATTCACCCCAAAACTGGCCAGAAGCTGTCTTTGGGTGGGACATACCTGAATCCTCTAACAGGAACAGTGACGCCTCTTGAATTGGGGGGGCCTATGAGGTTCCCAGAAGGAGGGAGGATTGTTCCAATCCTTGGAGTCAGTTTGGATAATAACACGGGTAAGTGTTGTGTTCTGTTCTCTTGGTTTCATCTACCTGGCTTGCTTCTGGAAGAAAGAGAAACAGCGGGGAGGATAGGTCAATGGCAGGACACCTGCTTGGCATGCAGAAGGTCACTGATTCCATTCCCAGCATCTCCAGGTAGGGCTGGGAGAGACGCCTGCCTGAAACCCTGGGGAGCCGCTGCCAGGCAGTGTAGACCATACTGAGTCAGATGGATCAATGGTCTTGATGCAGTTTGAGGAAACATCCTATGCCTTAAAGGATGGATCTTAGGTCAGTGGGAGAGCATTTGCTCTCCATGTCGAAGGTCACAGATTCGATCCCCAGTATTTCCATCTAGGGGTGGGAATGTCCCGCTGGGAAACTAGGAGACCCACTGCCAGTCAGAATAGGCAGCATTAGGCTAGATGGACAAACAGTCTGACTCAGTATAAGGCAGGTTCATCTGTAAGATTGGGATGTCTCTGCAGTGCAGGCAGAAGGTCACTATGCTGGGCTATGTCTCAACCACAGATGGTCATCTGGCAACCAGCAGGCAAGACCCAGCTCCCCAAAATCCCTATCCAGCCCCTAGTAGTTTTTCCTGCATTGTCCTTGTACCAGCCTTCAGGTTTATCCTACTGGCAGGTACCGTTCACTGGAACATAGGAAGCCGTCTTATACCAAGTCAAGTCCATCTAGTGCCCTACTGTCTTCACTGCCTGGCAGTAGCTCTCCTGAGGTAGGGAGTCCTTCTCAGGTCATTTGGGCTTGAACTCAGGATCTTCTGCAGGCAAATCAGATGCTTTGTTTCTGAGCTACAGCACCATAAAACACCGGTCCTGAAAGACCTACATTGGCTCCCACTACATTTCCGAGCACAATTCAAAGTGTTGGTGCTGACCTTTAAAGCCCTAAACAGCCTCAGCCCAGTATACCTGAAGGAGCAACTCCTCCCCCACCATTCAGCCAGGACACTGAGGTCCTCCTTTGAGGGTATTCTGCTGGTTCCTTCACCACGAGAAGTGAGGTTACAGGGAACCAGGCAGAGGGCCTTCTCGATAGTGGCTCCCTCCCTGTGGAACACCCTCCCTTTGGATGTCAAGGAAATAAACAACTATCTGACTTTTAGAAGACATCTGAAGGCAGCCCTCTATCGGGAAGTTTTAAATGTTTGATGTTTAGTATGTTCTGATATATGCTGTGAGCCACCCAGAGTGGCTGGGGAAACCCAGCCAGATGGGTGGGGTATAAATAATGAATTATTATTATTATTATTATTATTATTATTATTATTATTATTTCCCCTTCTGCTTCCTCTTCTGTCTGTGGTCAGGCCAAGACATTTTGCTGCCTGAGGCAAAGGTCAAGATAGCACCTTCCCAATGCCGTGTAGAGAAACCAAGTAGACAGGCATCAGTGGTTGAAGGTCACATGACAGCATCCTCCACAACACTTGAAAGCATCATGGTACCTTAGTGGGCATGTAGCAAGCTATGAGGCACACATAACTCTGCCCTCCTACATTTTGATGCTAACCCCAGCATCTGCCACCTGAGGCAGCTGGTTGTTTTTGTTGACTTTTTGCAGTATGGTAGCGCTGCAGAGAGCTTGCTGGGGAGACCATGCATTAAAAAGGGACTCAAAAATAACTTAAACAAGGTTTTAATAAGAAAAACAAAAACTCCTTTTACACTAAATACATTAACAAACAAACATGACCCAACCACCAACTCATCACCCTGGGTAATGGGAGAGCTAGGTGCTGCTCCTTATATACTACACCCAATTACCAACACAGCTTAATCAATACAACTCAGCAGCACCTGCTATGTTTCACAGCTGTAAAGCTGGGTCTCGTTATTTTGCTCTGGCCCTTTCTCTGGCCCCTTAAAGACATACACATCGAGTGGAACAATGATGAACCTTTACATATTAAACCATTCAACAGTTTTATGGTAGGGCAAGCCCTGCCTGTGTGTTGGAGATGGTGGGTGGGCCATTAGCCCTTCAAGATGCTGGATATTAATGACTCCATCAAACGCCTTGGTTTCTACCACTGCCATCTTGATGTTGAATGATAAGCCACAGGTGATGGGCATGTAGAACTTAATAGGTGACACACTCCAAATCAAAAAGTCTCTGAGAGAAACTGTTGATTTAGAAGTATTATTTCAGAAGCTAAAAAAGAAAATCAATAACCACCCCAGCCTTTTCGTGAAGATATTCTAGAAAGAGTGAGAGAGATGAAATTAAAGCTATGATTGATTACTCTTAAGAGGTGCTGCCTTCATTAATTGAACAGCTGAGGCAAATTTGACTTTCTTGGAAGTAGTTCAGTTGATCGATTAATGTAATAAACAGCGCATTAAAATGGGTCTGTTAGAGTCTTCCAGCTCAGCTTAGTAAGCATTTTTCACTCTGTTCAGTTTTGTATCAGTGATGTTAGAAAATGAGATGAACAGATTCCTCATTTTCCTCCGGTCTCTGTCAACTCCATGGTAATGACAGGATGAAGACACCCAGAAATTAGGGAGAGGGCAGACTGAGGGCCTCCTAAGCTCCAGCTCCAACTCAGTTTATCCTAACTTCTTTGTCTAAACTAGGCTCCAGGCTCAAAGAGTTTTTTCCTCCCAGTTAGTATATGATCCACTTTGTGTCTCCTGCTTGTATTAGTAAATAGAGCTGGTCTTTCTCTTTGACCAACCAATGTGAGGTGTTAAAATTAGGTCATGATTCTTCATTCCCTCAACTTCGGGTAACTTTTTCTGGTTCAGACAAAAAAGGCAGAAAGAAACTGTGGGTGCTAGAAATGAGATTTATTCCAGGCCTGACATGTTTGAAACAAATCCTTCCTTGGGCCACTATAAATATACAAACCACATACAAAGCAAATGGGATATCGAGTGCATAAGATAATAACTCAGTTCTGTGGTTGGTTGATCCTGGCTCAGAAACAAGAGTGAAGCATCACTCCAAGGCCTACCCATTTCCTGATTTGTCTCAGTTCTGCTCCATGGGCATCCAAATATTCTTTTCTGTGACTGAGGAGAAGCCTCACGAACCTGAACCTGCCTAATCTGTATTTTCTCAAACAATATGTGATTCAAAACACAGCCATCCTTTGAAATACTCACTTCTCATAATTTGGCATTGCAATTCTTCAGCCAAGTAATTTGTACAAAAATGCATATACTAGGGCTAAAGTGAACATATGTAAGTGAAAATAGTACAGTGGTACCTCGGGTTAAGTACTTAATTTGTTCTGGAGGTCCGTACTTAACCTGAAACTGTTCTTAACCTGAAGCACCACTTTAGCTAATGGGGCCTCCTGCTGCCGCCGCGCCGCTAGACCACAATTTCTGTTCTCATCTTGAAGCAAAGTTCTTAACCTGAAGCACTATTTCTGGGTTAGCGGAGTCTGTAACCTGAAGCGTATGTAACCTGAAGTGTATGTAACCCGAGGTACCACTGTACACAAAAATGCATAAGGTTAGAGGAAATGGCTTTGCAAAAATGGGTATATTAGAATCAAGATTGTAAGGCAGAGCAACTTTCATGAGGAATTTTCTGGAAAGAAAAAAATCACAAATTGATGTGGAAATGTTGAACTTCCACATCACATTTAACTTCCTGTTCCCCTCCCCTTCCTTCCTTCCTTCCTTCCTTCCTTCCTTCCTTCCTTTCTTTCCAACTGTTTAAACCAATTCATGAACCAAGAAACCTATACATTGACCACTAATAATGAAACTTATGTTGTAGATATTTTTCCACGTTTACTATGTTATTTTTGTGATATACAAATGACACGAGAAAACTTGGTATACTTGTTTGTATAACATTATTCTTGTTTATAAAACCCAATAAAAAATAAAAATAAAAACTGTAACTTCCTGTGACAAATCTTATTGTTTACTGTGTAAGGGAGTTGAATTGAAAACTAGTTGTGTTGTAAATATCAGGCCTTTGAGTGAAAGGCCCTATTCAAATAAAGCATTGAAATGGAACATGAACCTGAACCTTATGTGGGAAGGTGAATATCCAGATTAACTCTTTTTTCTTTCTTTGCTCGTCTCTTAAATGCAGGAGACCTCATTCCAGTGGGAGGCCTCCATGGGCCCTCAGAGAACGTCCTCCTTATAGGGGATTCCTTTAAGGAGCCACTGAGTGGGAGGGTTGCCCGTGTCCAAGGCATTTGCCTTCAGCAAGACAAGATGGCCGCTCACGCAGGGGGCTATCAGGCGGTATTGGACGCCAACCTCCTTGTAGCTCAGATCCACGTGGCTCAATCACTAAGAGAGTATAAGGACGCCATTTGTGAGGACCTGTGCTCTGCTGGAGATAGGCAGAAAGCCCTCAAAGCCGCAGAAGAAGACATGAAAAGAGTACTCTCTGAGGTGTTGGATTATTTGTTGTACCAGCTAAGGACCCTAGAGAAGCAACGGGGCCACGCGTCAGTTCTCAAGAGCACTGGCGGCAAGCTGGGTAGGTGCTCTGAATTACAACTGTGTTGTTCTACATCCTTCTGTAGAAATGAATCCCTGCCAGTTACTGTTCCGTACAAATCAGTCTGTACTTGAAGTTCCACAGGTGTTAAGTTGTGGGTGAACATATCAGACGACACAGCGATTCTTCAAACAGCTCTTGTTTATTCAGAGGCCAGAACAGAACTGAGCTGAAGTGCTCAGTCAGCCTGCTTATATAGAGCTCCAGTACAACGTTACTGTAGCAACTTTCTAAAACTATCCAATCACTGAACGTCACTTTTGATCCTTCATTTGCATAACTATCTACAGTATCCCCTGCTGGCCCAGGGTGAGAACTTCAGTACATAACAACAGGTGCAGCCTTTGCTCAAAGCAATCCTGTGGGGCAGTGGTTTTCAACCCTGGGGTGCCTTGAATGATGGTCAGGGGATGCTGCGGGCAACACTGGCCTCTGTCCTTCTTTCTTCCCCTCCCTTGTCTGATGCCCTTTCTTGTCTCTGCCTCCCAAAAGCTTGCGCAGTTGTTTGCAGCAGCCCTGGCTACAAACTCCCCAGATGGATGGTGCCACTGGGAGGCACCTCTCTTTGGGGTGGGGTGGGGGGCAGCTCAGGTAACAGGACAGTAGCAGTGTCTGCCCAGAGGACTCCCAAGGAGACAGGAGAAGAGAGGAGGCTGAAGGAACCCTCCACAAGGGAGGATGTTCAAAAAAGGGTGAGAGGCTGCCAGCTCTGCAGGCAAGGGGTAACACAACTGGGCTCCTGTGCCCCACAGGGGTGCCGCAGAAAGAATGTAGTTGGTCAAGGGAGCCGTGGACCCCAAAAGTTTGAAAACCTCTGCTGTGGGGGATGTGGTGCAATGTGAGTTGTATCTACACACTGCACAACATGCTAATAGTTGGCCCACTGAAATTAGCAGACATAGCTAACTTCCACTTGATTTACTGCAATTGCAATCCTTTGTCTATGTATGGAACACAATAAAATGCAACATGGTGCAGTGATTAGAGTATTGGGTTAAGGATGGAAAAATCTGTCCATTTGGGTTTCTTAATTTTAGAGTCAGTTTTCCAGACATCAGCATCAATTTGTGTTTTTTTTTCTCTAAACAATTTCATTAAAATTCATCAGAATTTTTAGGGTGCGTGTCCCCTAACATACACATCTTTGCAAGCAATTTTCCATAAGAACATGCATTTTTGTATGCTCTTTCCCTGAATATACACAGTACAATAACATATTCTTGGGTCAGGGAGCTGCATTGCAAAATGTGGAGGTGGGCAAATTTGGAAGAAAAGTTTCAATTTGCACGTTGTTTTGGGAAGGGTAGATTAGGTAAATTTGCAAGAAAATATGTACCGAAAGAAATTTCACTCCTCAGGCTCAAATCCCTGGTCAGTTGAGAACCTCACTGGATGACCATGTACTAATAACTCTCTCTGAGCCTTGCCAACCTCACATGAGAGCCAGTGTGGTGTAGTGGTTAAGAGCGGTGGAGTCGTAATCTGGTGAACCAGGTTCGATTCCCCGCTCCTCCACATGCAGCTGCTGGGTGACCTTGGGCTAGTCACACTTCTCTGAAGTCTCTCAGCCCCACTCACCTCACAGAGTGTTTGTTGTGGGGGAGGAAGGGAAAGGAGAATGTTAGCCGCTTTGAGACTCCTTAGGGTAGTGATAAAGCGAGATATCAAATCCAAACTCTTCTCTTCTAAAAGGATGAGGAGGAAGAAAAGAAACATGCACACTGCCCCTTTAAGGAGTTGTAAAATAAACGGGTAACAGAGAAATAAGCAACATACAAGTTCTCCTTCTTTCCATATACATACACCCAAATTCACCTATTGTCATGATGATGGGCATTTGCTAATACAGTATTCATACTGACTTGGCTATCCTTTCGCTGTCTCAACCAAATTAGGGATGATCAAATATCCCAGCACAGAACTCTGGATCCCTGCCGTCTTTGGGATGAAAATCCCGGATCCAGGAGGTTCTGATTTGATGGTGCCCATCCTTGGAGTTGAATGTGACTGGAAGACAGGGCAGCCAATGCCGTTAGCTGGGACCATGGAAGATGCAGATGGGAAAGGTGAGGACTAACACTTTGGACTGGAAGCTCCCCGCAGCAGGAAGGAAAGTGAGCAGGTGACGCACAGTCAGCTACAGGGAGGTGGTGTCATGCTTAGCAGCAGTACAAGAAGACGATCTCTGATTTGTTGCTCCTAATGCTGTATTATTTTATTGTGTTCTTGGATAGCTGAAAGTTGGGGGCAGTGCTTGATTTTTCAGAGGATGGGTGCCATGATGTTACTGTTAGCATAGGTAAAGGTAAAGGGACCCCTGACCATTAGGTCCAGTCGTGACCGACTCTGGGGTTGCGGCGCTCATCTCGCTTTATTGGCCGAGGGAGCTGGCATACAGCTTCCGGGTCATGTGGCCAGCATGACTAAGCCACTTCTGGCAAACCAGAGCAGCGCACGGAAACGCCGTTTACCTTCCCGCAGGAGCGGTACCTATTTATCTACTTGCACTTTGACGTGCTTTCGAACTGCTAGGTTGGCAGGAGCAGGGACTGAGCAACGGGAGCTCACCCCATCGCAGGGATTCGAACCGCCAACCTTCTGATTGGCAAGTCCTAGGCTCTGTGGTTTAACCCACAGCGCCACCCGTGTCCCTTACTGTTAGCATACAAAGCCATTTAACAGATTGGGACCAGTTTACTTAAGGGATTTCCTTACCCCACTTCATTCTGTGGAGCTGCCACTATTACAAGTGCCGCATAAAATTTGTTCCACTCTTGCAAGAAATCAATCTTTTAGTGTGGCGACACCTACACATTGGGCCTCTCCCTCTTTCATAATACTAGAACTCAGGGCCATTCAATGAAGGTGAATATGGGAAGATTCAGGACAGACAAAAGGAAATGCTTTTTTTCATGCATTGTAGCAGTAGACTATGGAATCCCGCAAGATATACCCATGGCCACCAAACTGGAAGGCTTTAAAAGAGGATTCGACAAATGCATGGCAGATACAGCTGTCAGTGACTACTAGCCCCAATGGCTATGTTCACCCTCCACTGTTTGAGACAGGATGCTGGGAATCTCAAGTTTGGACACCGCTGTTGAATTTGGGTCCTATTTGCAGGCTTTCCAGAAGCTTCCGGGAAGGATAGGATGCTGAGTTTAGATGGGTCTTTGGCCTGATGAAGCAGGACTCTTATGTTCTTCTGTTAAGTAGGAAATATATATGCAGTTGTCTAGTGGGGAAGGTGGAATGAGTGGAGACTGTGGTCCCATAGTGAAGCCCTTTGTGGTTCAAATCATGGTCTAGAATGAATGGGGTAGAATCCAGAAACATTAAGGATGTAGCAGCCCGCTGCAAAAAGCAACAACACAAAAAATACGCTTCTCACAATGGTATGGGTTTAATCATGCTTCAGAGTTTTCTGACTTCATGCTCATAAAAACTCACATTAATACCCACTTAGGCTTGATGGTTTGGCTCTGACTCCTTGCAGGTCTTGTTCCACTCGCTGTTGGCTTCAGAACTGTGGATCCCATAACAGGCGAGACTGGTCCAGTCATTGGGGCTCAAATTAACCCTTGGACAAATGCTGTCATTCCTGTGGTCCAGTCTCTGGGAAACTTACCAAGAGGAAATCCAGACCCGGAACTGGTAACTCCCATTCCAAGTTATTATTATTATAAAGGAGAGGGGGAAGGGGGTTTGTTATTTGTTAAACTCCTTTCTGATTCGTGCAGCCTGTTATGGGAAATCATTGTTTTTACAGCTGGTTGCTTTGGAGAAGGAAATAAATGCCAAGCAAGCATACTGGCACTGCCAGCGGGCAAAAGAAGAGGAGCTCTTTAAAGAGCTGGATTTTATATGTCTGGATGTCTTGGATGCAGCCAAGGAGGGGAAAATGAAAAAGGTGCACGTTGGCTTTACCTGCAACACCTGCTGCGAAATTAGAAGAGTGCTCTGGCCCTCTGCCCTGTATGCATGCTGGGCTTATTCCCCTGGGCTGGGGTAGCAGCACTTCAACAGACCATCATGTCCTTGTTAAAGACAGATTCTCCCCACCTATAGATAGGAAGCTGCCTTAGAGCAACTCAGGCCACTAATCCATCAAGCTCAGCATTATTGTCATGGGCTGGTTGGCCACAGAGGAATGTAGGAAGGAACGAGCTGGGAAATCCCCAAGGGAGGAAGGCTCAGGGCCCGGGGAGTAGCGGTGGGACAACAATGAGTGGTCGGAGGGAGAAGACTGGGAAGAGCAAGTATCGGAAACTAAAGGAGTAACAGGGTTTAGTGAGCAGGGAGAGTCTGTGATAGAGCGAAGTCCAGAATCAGAGGCAGAAGCTGAAGCAGGAGAGTAGAGAGGCCAAGAGGCAGAGATGAGTCAGGCTGGGGAAGAGTCACAGATATCTCCCCCTCCTGCTGTGACAAGCTCCCCTCCCACCCCCACCCCCTTGTCTCCCAGAACTAGAAGAGGCATGAAAAGGGCACAGGAGAGATTAGTGACTCACAGTCACAGTCTCCGACTGCTTGGGGAAAACCCAGGACATGAGGGAACTTAGGCTTTTGTGGGTGTTAGAACAACCACGAGGACCTCTTCAACTAAAAATAAAATAAGATCCCAGTCCTTATGATTCTACATAATGTAGAATACACGTATATAGGAAACCACCTTATACTGAGTCCAATAACAGTTACATCCAGTCCAGTATTTCCTGCACTGACTGGCAGTGGCTCTGGAGGAGGCGGTTTTTCCCAGCCCTACCTGGAGATGAATTGGGATGACTTTCTGCATGCAAAGCATATTTTAGCTTAATTCTCTTTATCTCCCCTCCCCCTTGCAGTTAAGGTATAGGATCAAATTAAGACCTGCTGATGAAATCTATCACCTGCTGGAAGAATCCTCTGCCCAGGAAACTCAAAGGAGAGCTAGCAGAGATCAGAACATGCTGTGGGACACAGAACAGTCTCTGAGGATGAGAGGTATGGAGGCACAGCTTCTGGCTATTGCGTTTGTGTGGCTGTCTTGAACTACAGCTGAGCTGAAGTTTCTCACAAGATAGTTCCCTTGGAAAATATCTGAGATGTTTCCTTTCCCCTTAGAAAAAGACACATTTGCAGAATTTTCTCCACTGTTTGTTGTTGGTTGGTTGGTTGCAGGGGGGCCCCTCCCACCCCACTCAACCCCCCCACCCCATAATCCTCTGGGCCTCAATTTCCCCAGCTATGCCCTAGAGCAGCGCAGTTGCATCAAGCTCTTCTGTAAAATGTCCTTGCTGAGCTTCTAACGGTGTTACTCATTGAGACGATTGTGTTTTCGTGACTCCAGTTGACAAGGACGAGAGAGACCAAGAAGGCAGAGTTCGGCTTTTGCTCAGGAAGATGCTGGAGAAACTGGTCCAGTTCATCCGGAGGATGCAGCTAGAAGAAGGACGGATCCAGATGCAGCTGAAGGAGGCAGAACGGCAGTGGAGCAGAGGCTTGCACATGGAAGAGGCCATTAGAGAGAAATCCAGAAAGGTGAGGTCACCACCTGTTCCCCAACATAATCTGCCATGATCTGGCTTTGATGTACTGTACATTAAAAACCCTGATTTCTGTGTCTCCGGTGGTATAGTGCGGGGAAGAATGCAGGTGGGTACAACTCCAGTGCTTTTCTTAGAGAAGAAGTGGTCACAGCATCTGTTAGAGTGCCAGGGCAATTTATAGAGCCTTCTTGCTCCAGCAAGTGAGTGAGCAGATAATGTGGCTTTCAAGTTGGCTTGCAGTGATGAGAGATTAGCATAAGGCAAGTCAGAAAATGAAGCAAATCATCAAGTACTTCTCTGGGTACTTCTTTCCTTTTCTTTGATGGGGTCCCTTCTTCACACACCCTCAAAGATTTCTGGGAACTATGGTTGGCTAAGGGTGCTGGAATTGCAGGTCTGTAGCGAGTAAACTCCAATTCCCAGGATTCTTTGGGGGAAGCAATGTATCTGAATGTGCTTTAAATATATGACATATATGGGTAACACTTTTTTGCCTGTCCTTTGCATTTCTGTTTGAAACTCTGAATTATCATAATAGCATTATAGGTTTTGCGTGCCAGAGTGTGTGGGCGCTAGCCATTAAGGAACAAAGGCTGGATTGACCAGTCATTAACCCATCAATGCAAGTCACTGATAAAACAGAAGACTGCAGAGCACAGAGAGGGAGGTTGCCAGGGTTACAGTGGGAGATAATGGAGACAGAAGGAGAAGTTGTGTTTTGGCAAGGTTTTTTTGGGGAAGAAGCAGCAGGAAGTAGGCAGAACCGGGTTGTACCCAGAGACCAGGGAGCATGGCTTTCCTCTGCTCAGGACCCAAGCTTGATGAAGTTATGGAGAAGAAACAGGAGGCACTCTTGAGGTATGATATTCTGCACTCTCTCCATCAGTGTCTATATGTGTAAATAAAACCATACATCTCAAAGACACTGCAGTCTCTACTGTGCCTAATTTTCAAGAAGGAAACGCAACTCTGGGTAAGTGCCTGGAACCTCCTGGAATCTTGCTAACACTCAGCAGAGATTGGGGGTGGCACATAACAATAATGTCTAAAGTAGCACATGATAGGAAAGCAGGTAATGAACAACCAAGCATGGGATTGTCTCCAACTAAGTTCTACTCAGAGCAGACACAGCAAAAGCAATGGACTGGAGTTAGCCATGATCAAGCTCAAAAACAATTTAAAAAAATGGTTGTGCATCATATCTGTGGCCACCAAAAGATGGGTCCCAAATTTTCTGGTAACATTTTGCCGCATGATCCATGTTAACATTTTGCAACACAAAAATCTCGGCAGTCACATTTCTTGATGCTTAATGCTGCTCTTAAGCAAGATGGTGGGAATGGGAAGAAGTGGTTGAGATCATCCCTGCTTCTCTGCCTTCTTCCAGATCACACTGCATCTTGTGGCTGGATTCCAGGAACACATTGCAAAGCAGCAGACCAGCGTGGAGAGTGCCCACTGCAGGCTGGAATATTTCCGAATATTATCAGATACGCTGGCCCTACAGACAAAGGTATGCCGTTTTTGTGAACATAGGTAGCAAATTGAAAACCAACTTACTACCAGGTGTGTCTATGGGCTCTTCTGGACTGTCACCGTTTTGGGGTGGGATTCATTCATAGGTTGCACAGCTTAGGTCCAAGCTATCTGAAATACCTTATTCCCTCATATGCACCTGCCAGGGTTATGAGATCTTCAGGGGAAGCCCTTCTCTTGGTCCTGACTCCCTCACAGGCTCACTTGGGCCTTCTCAGTGGCTGCTCTGACTTTGGAATCCCTCCCTATAGAAGCTAGACTGGCTGCCTCCTTGTTGTCATTCCACTGGCAGGTGAAGACTTTTTTGTTCCAGTAGGCTTTTGGGAACTAACTGCTTTTAATGAAAAGGTTGATGCCATGCTGTTTTTATTGTGATTATTGGTATGACTTTAATAGTGTGTGTGTGTGTGTGTGTGTGTGTAATTCTATCAATGTTTAATTGATTTTTAATGGTTGATTTTCTATGTTTTAAGCAGTACTTATTTTTATTTGTAAGCTGCACTGAGTTTTGTCCATATATATATTAGTAGTAGTAACAACAACAACAACAACAACAACGTGCATTGGGAGTTCTTGCACAACAAACCTGCTTCCCCAAAAGATCAAACTTTTTGCAATAAGAAAAGTGATGGGGAAATAAACTGGAAAGTGTGGGATAAACTTTGCTTGATGAAACGTCTCCTAATCTGTGGTGCGACCACACCTGAATACTGCACAAAGTTCAGGTTGCCTCACCCTGAAAAAGGATACTATAAAGCTATTTTTTTTTATTAAAAAAAAAGGCTTCAGGGAGGGGCAACCAAGAAGATCAAGGGATGGAACAGCTCCCGTATCAGGAAAGATTACAGCACACTGGGGGCTTTTTAGTTCAGAGAAAAGGCAAGTAAGAGGCAACACGATAGGAATGTATACAGTTACATACCCGCTAATATTTCTCTGGTGAAAATAGGGACATCCTATTTAAATTGCTGCTGCTGCTGCTGCTGCTGCTGCTGCTGTTATCATCATCATTATTATTATTATACCCCGTCCATCTGACTGGGTTGCCCCTGCCACTCTGGACAGCTTCCAACATATATAACAAAACATTAAAAAACAATTAAAAAACTTCCCTATACAGGGCTGCCTTCAGATGGCTTGGGGGTCGCATAACTCCATACTCTCCAAAATTTCTCTGATGAAAATAGGGACATCCTAAGGAAAAGTGGGATATTCCGGGATCAAATCAGAAACCGGGACAGATTCTGTAAATCCAGGACTGTCCCTGGAGAATAGGGACACTTGAAGGATCTGCAGTTATGCTCGGTGTGGATGAAGTTGAATGCTAGAAGATTCAGTACAGAGAAAAGGAAATACTTCTTTACACAGTGCATACTGTAGATAATGATGGAATCTGCTCCCATAGGAGGAAGTGATGGCCACCAACTTTGATGGCTTTAAAAGAGGATTAGGTGAAATTATGGAGCCTAAGGTTCTCAGTAGCCACTAGCCCTGGTGGCTATTTTCTACTTCCACTGTTGGAGGCAATATGTGTCCGAATACCAGTTGCTGCATTTGGGTCTGGCTTGTGGGTTTCTCACAGGCATCTGGTTGGCTGCAGTAAGAACAGGATGCTAGAGTAGATGTAGAGTAGTCTGATGACCCTGCCAGCACCTTTCTTCATATGTTCTTAGCCTCCTTGCAAACAAATCAGAATGAATGCTCATTAAACAGCTAATATTGTCTGATCTTCCTGCAAACAAATTAGGATGAATGCTCAGTCATCTGGAAGCTTCCTAAAAGCTTAACCCAAGGATGATCACATGCTGCAAAAATAAAGGTTTTCCCTGGATTGGGTTTATTCATATTATTCACCACTCAAAGAGTTGCTTCTTTTACTGGTTCCTATAGCTGGGTTTAACCCTGTGAAAAATTCAAGTGGCAAATGTTTGCTGAGAGTTAATCTTCTTCTCTGTCTCAGGACCTTCTCTCCGGTTCATCCCAGTGTTTTCTGAACTACCCGGGCGCAAAATTCTACAGCGTGGCCGGCACTGCCCATGGAAGTTGGGAAGTCATCAATCGGAAACTGATCCCACTCCTCAAGTCTGTGGTTCAGACTCTGGAGGAGAACAAAAGGGGTCCCTTGTCTCCTGAGATGCTTCTGGGTCTGGGATCAGGAGAAGGTGTGGTCTGCTGTTTCCATGGTCTTTGCAATGCTTGTCTTTCAACCGAGCAAGAGATGAAACCATATTCTGAGCCGCGAAATAAGTGCAGTTGAGTTGCAAGGCCAGCCCTACCATTAGGTATAATGAGGCAGATGCCTCAGGTGGCAGATACTAGGAGGAACTTATGGCAGCCACCCAAGCTTTTTGTGCTGGTCCCGTGGGTTATCTGAGAGGCGATGTCCAAGTCCAGTCTGTGGTCAGAGGTGCAACGCAGAGGCAGTCCATAGTAGCTGAAGCTGGGTGCAGGGCAGGGAGTCGGGTGAAGTCAGGAACAGGCATGCAAGCAGGGAGCCAGGGCGGGTCAGGAGCTCAGGCAGGAAAGCAGGACAGGGTTCAGGCAGGAACTAGCAACCAACAATGTTGCTCCCACAATTTGGGACTGGGGCTGGTTGGCTTTTATCTGCCCTGAGGCATAGGGCAGCCCCCATCCTCTGGTGACTCACCTCTCCTGGCCTGGAGGCAAGCACTCCTCCTGCGGGAACTTAGTTCCCTCCGCCTCTCTGCCCTGAGCCTCTGCAGCTCAGGAGAGGCTAGAGGGTTACCGGACCCAGAGGCAACCTCAGCTTCCTCTGACGGGGCTGAGAGTGGAGCACCTGCAGGCAATGGGTCCTCCATCACCTCAGGAGCCAGAGCAGACTCAGCTGATGCCTGCACCTGAGGACCCAGCACAGGTGAGGACCCTTCAGGCTCATACCCCAGCCCCCGCTCAGCTGGTTTTGGAGGTGAGGAATCCTGTGCAGGCTGGGATCCCTCAGGTTCAGCATCCGAGTCCGAATCCCAGGCCATCACACTTTTGCTCTTGAGCCATTCCCCACCATCACTTAAAAGGCCACTTTCATTCTTCTGAGATGGTGCCCCAGTGAGGATGTCTGCTTGTTGCTGGTCTGGGACTGCTGAAGAAAGCGTCTCAGTGAGTGTGCAAAGTTCAGGCCATGAGTTTCAGCAGGCATTCTGCTTGTGCATGCATTGTTCCACTAATTCTGCATGTGTTGTTGCAGCCACCCACGGCATTGTAGCATTTTATTTTGCAATGTGGGTCTCCAGCCAAGAAACATGTAAAAAAATGAACATACCATTGCAAAATGTGCATTGAAATGCATACACTGGTACAAAAATGCTTTCTGGGAAAAGACTTTGCAGAAAAGAAAAGAGTACATTAGAAGAAATTTACACTAAAATGCCGGGGGTTTTGTGAGGATTTTGTTTTTATTTAAAATATAAATCACAAACTGATGAGGAAATGTGGAAAACTGAAGAATGGGGAGATAACAAACTGGAAGAAACAGAAATGGACATATTTTCCCATCCCTAGGCAGCACAGCTCCATAGCCAGTGTTGCAGTAAGATTCAGTCTTGTTGCCCCTGATGAATGGAAAAGGCATATTATATCTCCTGTAGAAGCCCAAGGAAAGCTATACGAGTACAGTGGTACCTCGGGTTAAGTACTTAATTCGTTCCGGAGGTCCGTTCTTAACCTGAAACTGTTCTTAACCTGAAGCACCACTTTAGCTAATGGGAGCTCCTGCTGCCGCCGGAGCCCGATTTCTGTTCTTATCCTGAAGCAAAGTTATTAACCTGAAGCACTATTTCTGGGTTAGCGGAGTCTGTAACCTGAAGCGTATGTAACCTGAAGCGTATGTAACCCGAAGTACCACTGTATATAATACTCATGCCTGCTTATAAAGTCTTTGCCTATTAAGCATTCAACAGTGGAATCATAAACCCATTTCATGAAGATTTCGTTTCTTTATTTGTTTACTGTTCCCATTTCTAGCCTCATTTTCCCCTCCAAAATGAAAATACCTGACAATTCTCAATGAAAAACAACCACCTGATGGTGAAACATCAAAACAGGAGAGAATCAGAGCTCAAAGAAAAGCACTAGCCGACAGAGAAGCAGACGAAATTAAAAAATCTAACCAAAAATCTTAGCAGCAAGGAGATCAAAGTCTTATTCGAAAAATTAAACTTTTCAAACCGCTTGTAACACAGTAATTCAGCTGCAAGACACATTAGGATGAATGTGCCAAGCACCCTGCTGTTGGGGATGGGCATTAATGCTGTGAGGATGCTGTTGTTCCTTTGAGGAACCTGTGAGTACCTCCAGATGTGGCTGGACTACAACTCCCATCATCCCCCAGACCATCAGCTACATTAGCGGGAGTTGAAGTCTGACCAACAATGCTTGGAGGCTTGCAGGTTCCCCATCTGCTGGACCTACAGAGCAGAATGAAATGAAGTGGCAGCACCACCCACTGGCAGCTAACGGAATGGCTGAGCAGTGCACGTTGGAGTCATCAAAGGGGTTTCTGCAGTCACTTCACAAAACATTGTGCCTTTGGGGCCTGCTAGAAAATAACCCTACAAAGTTTGGGCTGATTAGGAATGCTGTTGCACACAGGGTCTGCTTTGGGGCTTCCCATAATGGGAATCTGGTTGGCCACTATGACAAGGTAAAGGTAAAGGTAAAGGACCCCTGGATTGTTAAGTCCAGTCAAAGGCGACTAAGGGGTTGTGGCGCTCATCTCGCTTTCAGGCCAAGGGAGCCAGTGTTTTTTCGCAGACAGCTTTCTGGGCCATGTGGCTAGCAGAACTAAACTGCTTCTGGCGCAACAGAACACCGTGACGGAAGGCAGAGTGCACGGAAACACCGTTTACCTTCCTGCCACAGCAGTACCTATTTATCTACTTGCACTGGCGTGCTTTCGAACTGCTAGGTTGGCAGGAGCAGGGACAGAGCAACAGGAGCTCACTCCGCTGTGGGGATTCAAACCGCCGACCTTCTGATCGTCAAGCCCAAGAGGCTCAGTGGTTTAGACCACAGTGCCACCCATGTCCACTGTGACAACTGGATGCTAGACAAGATGGACCACTGGCCTGTCTCCTTCTGATGTGCTTATGTCTCTATGCTGCGCAGACTCCCAATTATTTGTTTTGTCTAGGAGAACTATTTTTATACACCACTTTTCAGGGGGAACCTCGCAAAGCGGTTTCCATAAAATTATCAAAACAATGAGCATCAATAATTAAAAAAGAGACAATTGCTCGGAAAAGAGCAAAAACTCTCTGCATTGAAGATGCCATTTCTGATTTTATTCCCTTTTAATTTCCAGGTTTGGGCGGGTTCAGAATCTGTCTGTGCGGATGTGCCCTTGCATTATTCAAACCCTGACCGCAAGATTTTCATGTGAAGGCACTATGAACACTCTGCGTCTAAACTGCTTCCCTCTGCAGTTTAATTCCCCCCTCAATTAATTCAGCAGCATACCCGGAGTCTGTTAGCACAGGATTCCTTCTGTCCTCAACTTGGCAGCTAGTGGATGAAGTACAGAAAATCGATGGCATCCCTTTTACTCCCCACCCCCCACCCCACTCTCCTGGGAATTCAGATCTATCAATTGTGATGCAACCAGACTCTTAGTTACACAATAGATCTAAGTGTGGGGGGGTTGTTGGCAGACAGTGCTAGGCTAGAGCTGGGAATATGGAGAACAGGATGGGGAAGATGTGCAGGCAGGCAGGCATTAGGGTTCTGCTGACAGGGCCAAAACGGGAGCTGAGCTGCACTCAGAAAATGCTAAAGATTTTTATTTTCATCCAGTCCTTCCTCAAGCAACTGTTGATTGTGCACAGGCCTTTTACCATATCTTATGTAGACGAATTAGATTCACTTCACATGCATTTGTTTATTATTTAAGCTACTTAAAGGGGGAACCTACCCAATTTGCACTTTTGAAGCCAGCACATAGCCATCCTTTGAAATTCACACAATTCCAAATTTTGCAATGCAGTTCTCCAGCCAAGTAAAGTTTGCAAATGCCCATGCTAGGCTGAAGTGTTTCCCACATAAAATGTGATATGTTAAAAATCCATTTCCAACGCATTGATTAGCTCAGTCAGCAGAGCATTAAACTATTAATCTCAGGGTCGTAGGTTTGAGCCCCACATTGGGCAAAATATTCCTGCATTGCAGGAAGTTGGACTTGATTATCCTAGTGGTCTTTCCCAACTCTATAACTCTATGATGCTATGATGCTAAGATCCCATTTGCAATACCAAGCTCCCATCTAGAAGCAACTCCTGAAGTGTCTGAGATGCAATATCAGTTTGGTCAGGAAGGCAGCCACACCCGTGGGTCATGGCAGGTCCACAAGTTAGTTCAGATACTGCAGATGTGCCTTGAATTCTGCCCACTAAGTGACTACCTAGTATGAACAGAGAAATCCGTCAATTTCAGTTCCTTCTATTTCTCACTTAGGGACGCAGGTGGCGCTGTGGGTTAAACCACAGAGCCTAGGGCTTGCTGATCAGAAGGTTGGCGGTTCGAATCCCTGTGACGGGGTGAGCTCCCGTTGCTCGGTCCCTGCTCCTACCCACCTAGCAGTTCAAAAGCACGTCAAAGTGCAAGTAGATAAATAGGTACCGCTCGGGCAGGAAGGTAAACGGTGTTTCCATGCGCTGCTCTGGTTCGCCAGAAGCGGCTTAGTCATGCTGGCCACATGACCCGGAAGCTGTACGCCGGCTCCCTCGGCCAATAAAGCGAGATGAGCGCTGCAACCCCAGAGTTGGTCACGACTGGACCTAATGGTCAGGGGTTCCTTTACTTTATTTCTCACTTTCCTAAATCCAGATCTCCACATATCCACAGCAATATGTGGGTTATGTGTGTTTTTTTCAAAGCTCATGGAAATTTGTCAGCATTTTAGTATGAGCCTCTCTTAAAATACTTTTTCATGTATAATTTTAAGTAACACACACATTTTTGCAAGTAATTCCCCCTTGTATAATGCATTTTAATGTTTTTGTTGTGGTGTGTTTTTATGCACTCTTCCCCCTTACATATGCATCAGGGTTATTCTTTAGAACTGCATTGCAACATTTGAAGAAGTGGGCATTTTGAAGCTGAATTCTCCTGCGGTGCACAGATTGGTTCAAAACGTGCATATTAGGTCATTTCCCATTAACGTGCAAACAAAACACGACTTCTCCCCAGTCCAGACTGCCTGCTCCGCCTTCTGGCTTCTGTTAAGCAGCAGTGATCTGGCTTCAGCCTTAAATGTCCTACCATTAAAAATAAATAATATAGAACCCCCATAGTTTCTCAAACTTTCTTTTAGATGTACAAAGTCTTGTCACTTGTCCGTATCTTAGGACTGAAGACTAGGGGGTGGGGGGGGATACAGTTCAAGCTGGGAAGAATCCCAAAAGCCTTTAAGATTCGTCAGCACTTTCAGACTAGTTGGTGGTTATTTAAAAACTACCAGAACTGCATTAACGTAATTAATAGCAGGCAGGGTAAAAACCACACATTTCCTCTCGCATGTTGTTCCTTTTTGCCCCCTCCACTGGTTCCACATACAGAACCCAACGCAGCTGCTGCTGAATCTTGCTTCGGCACTAGCAATGGGAAAAAACATACCCTATCTCTTCTGGGGGCACCAGGCCAGCTTAGGGGCCCCAGAACAGCTTAGTTTCAGGGACTGAGGGGCAGCTACCACCCTGGCATTGGATATCTGAGGCAGCTCTCCCTCTCTCTACCTAATAGTAGGACCGGCCCTGTTTGGAAGGGATTTCCAAACTTTTGTCCCCACCACGGTTGCAATTTGCAGAAACAACCATTGGTACTAGTGGCTTATTTTTCAAGATAGCAGCTATGCAAAGGTAGAAATGCCACCTCAGATTGGGCCCTCAGCCTCTCAGCTAATTCACCAGCTGATCTAATTAACCCTCAGCCCATGCCATGGACTACTTCATCGGTTGCCTTTTCCATCCCCATTATCCAATTTTAGACCAGGGATAAAATATAGGTCCTCAGGCCCGGGGACCCTAGGTGGCCCTCTGGGCCTCTCTATGTGGCCCTTGGGGCTTTCCTTCCCAGGCCACACTCCTTCCTGGCCCTGCTTTTCTTCCTCCTTGCCCAGATGGAATGTGTCTTGCTTGAACTCTTGCTTGCCTTGACAGAGGATAGAGAGGAATGTTTGAGTGTAAGTGGAAACCAGCCTACTGTTCCAAGGTCAAATTCACCCTTATTGGTCTGCTCGATTTACCTCTGGCCCCGACCACCAGTGGCCCTCAGAAGGAAATGTGGCCCTCAGGTTGGAAAAGGTCCTCACTGGTGCTTTAGAATATCAGCTTTTTGGACCTGAAAGCGGTCGCTTCTTTGGCTTAGGGCAGCTGTCTCACTTAATGCCACTACCAAGCTGCTCCACATTTGTTTGCAGACACCCTGCTCTACGCAGTGCTTCCCCTCCCAGAGAAATGGTGAATTTGATAAGCCTTCAAAAGAAGCATCCCTTTGACACCTCTCATTCCTCCTATAGGCTACTCATCCAGAAGCACTCTGAAGGTGTCTGAAGCTGCTGGCGAAGCGTTCCGGACCGAAACGAGGCAGGAAATGGCTCTTGCTGCGGCAACTCTTTCGCCTGCGCCACCTTCTTGGTCCACACCAAACAGATCCCAGTTGTTGCAAGAAATCCAGACCAGGTGAGATGCATGGGTTTTCCTCAAGCTCCAAGGCCCAGCACAAAACACCCGGGCGCTGGGGGCCTTGGGCTACCCTCTAATGACACTCTTGCCATTGGCATAACCCTAAGATTCTCCCTCTTCTGCACAAGCATGATACAGAACAGCTGTGCAAAACAGGGAGAGCTTATTCCTTAAAGGCCATAGGATAGGCAGTTTCTTTTAGGGAGGAGTCAACACACTTCTCAAGCCAATGGGAAGGCTGGGAAGGAGCTTCCGTGTTATTACAGCTCTGTGCTGTCTTAATTCTTCACGGGATTGTGGTTATGATGCTTTTTCTTCTTGGCATTCACAGTGTTTAGAATCATAGGGCTCTTAAGCTCTGGGACTACTCGATTGGTAGAGCATGAGACTTAATATCAGGGATGTGGGTTCAAGCCCTGCATTGGGCAAAAGATTCCTGCATTGCAGGAGGTAGATGATCCTAGTGGTCTCTTCCAACTCTGCAATTCTATGATTCTATGATCAGAGGAGGTTCTGCTTCCCCCCTTGGCAGTTCCAAGTCCTCCCCAGCCTCCACTGAGGCTCTTTTCTCTGCAGAAAATTGGGGGGAGAACCAGCACCCATGCTCCCTCTTCCAAAGTGGCTGAAGTCAGGGAAGATAGGGAAGATCCATTCCTCCTCCTGTCCACATTCCCACCATTCAGCCTCCTCCTTTTGCTCCTTCATCCTCCTGCATCAGTGCCTTTCAATCAACATCTGATCCCAGCAGCCCCTTGGGGCTCATGACAGCTCCCGCCTCTTCCTGCCATTCTTTAAGCAACTGGAGAATCAATTCATCTCTTTCTCACATGGCAGCTTATAAATCTGCCAGCGCCTCCTGACACCACCTGTGCTGTTGTTTGGGCAGGATTTTCTTGGAGAAGCACGCCAGCGAGATGGTGCACCTTGAGCTGTCCTTGATGGCTGAGGAAATCAACATGATCTCTTGCTTTTGCGAATCCTCCAAGCTGAGAAAGGACCTGGTGAGAGAGCTGTCTGTCACAGAGACGGGTGATGGGCAAGAGAAAGAATTTGCTCTATGGAGTTTCCTCCAGTAAATGAGATCTTTGAAGGTGGATGATTGGTCTTGATGCTCAGCATCCAATTATCTGGAATGGTTGCATGAATCAAAAATGGTGCTATGGTTCCATCCCCAATATCTCCAGGTAGATTTGGAAAAGAACCCTGGAGAACAACTGTCAATCAGTGTAAAGACTGGAAAAGGGATTGGGAATCTGTGGCCCTCTAAATGTTGTAGGACTCCACCTTCTATTATCCTTGACCAAGGGCCATGCTGATGGGAGTGGGAGTCCAACAAGATCTGGAGAGACAAAGCTTCGTTTCTGAGCACAATTCAAAGTGTTGGTGCTGACCTTTAAAGCCCTAAACGGCCTCAGCCCAGTATACCTGAAGGAGCATCTCCTCCCCCATCATTCAGCCAGGACACTGAGGTCCAGCTCCGAGGGGCTTCTGGCAGTTCCCTCCCCACAAGAAGTGAGATTACAGGGAACCAGGCAGAGGGCCTTCTTGGTAGTGGCACCCTCCCATCAGATGCCAAGGAAATAAACAACTACCTGACTTTTAGAAGACATCTGAAGGCAGCCCTGTTTAGGGAAGTTTTTAATGTTTGGTGTTTTATTGTATTTCTCATATTCTGTTAGGAGCAGCGGGAAAACCCAGCCAGATGGGCAGAGTATAAATAAAATATTATTATTATTATTATTATTATTATTATTATTATTATTCCCAACCCCTGGTGGTTCCCCCACCCCAACAGCCTGACCCTGAATAAGGCAGCTCCCTACATCCTGATGTCTTTACTGAAACCTAAAAGCATGAAATCCAATTTCCTGATAAAGTCTAATTTACTAGTTCACACTGGAGTCTTGTTGAGTGATAGTGACTTCTCCAGGTTAGCAGCAAAGGCTGAAGAAGGTTCTTCCACTGCCACCCGAATGTTGACATTTTTAATATCTGTTTTGTGCTCATTGATCCCTTTGCATCAAGAAATTGACCTTATTGCCCTGTGCTTCCCATATCCCTATATTTCCAGGGAATGACACAAAGGCATAACTTGGGAGCGGCCAACAACTGGGACAGCCTCCTGAAGGAGCTGGCTGAGTATCACCAGCATGCTGAAGAAGAGCTTAGACAGCAGCACTGGGAAGAAATTAAATGTGCCGGGCTCAGCCCCGAGGAAAGAACCCTCAAAGACGGGGCTTTATTCTCTCTGGAAGAAATCCTGCAGAATCTTGCGTCGCTGGGTGCCAACCTCCAAAAAGCAGGGGCCCCCTCTAGATTAAGCCTTGCAAAAGCAAACAGTGTGAGTTGCAACTCCCAGAGTCCTGGGCTTAGCAGACTCCTGTCTTCATTCCCTTTTTCTGTAACCTGTGTTATTCAATGACAGGCTGGTGTGGATGCATTTGGCAGAGAGGTGGGTTGGGTTCGATCGGTGCATGGATATTATGGGGAGAGGGAAAGGTACAGAGACTTTGGGGAAAGGGCCATAGCTTAGCTGTAGAGCACATATATAAACAAATACTCATCCCTACTGGGTTTCCCATTGTCATAGCTCTAGATCCAGCACAGAGAGCAAGACAAGCCCCAGTGCCTCTTCTTCTCAACTCAACGTTCTAGGCTGCTAGTTCTTTGTTCTCCTTCACTGGCCCACAGAGCTCGAAAACACCACCTCCAGCCAACAGTAGGAGAAAGGTCCAATTTGGACCACACTTCACAAAACAAGGCAGATCCCTTACAGACTTGGCTGGAATCATCAACTTAGCAAAGAGATTGGTTTGACCACTTTAGCAGTCCTTTATTCTTTGCAGAAACCCCATTCCAGGGGGACAAAAGCACAGGCTTGGTGGGGACCCCCGAGGATGACATCTAAACTAAAAAATATGGTTTTATATATACTGGAAGCCACCCAGAGTGGCTGCCGAAGGCCAGCCAGATGGGCAGGGTATAAATAATAAAAATTATTATCATTATCATTATCATTATCATCATCATCATCATCATCATCATCATCATCCCCCCTGGGAAAAACAATGCCCTTACAGCAATGTTATCTTTTGCTCTGCAGGAAACTCAAACTTTGGAGAGCAAGCTGGGCAGAGGCTCAGTGGCTCAGAAACTGCGAGCCATGGCAAGCAAGATAGTGAAGCAAGAAGCTATGAAGCAAATGTGGATACACAGAGTTCTGGATTGTTACAACCATCTCCAGGTACAGCCCAGCCTCTTGTTTCAGAGGAAGGACCATAGCTCAGTGACAGAACACCTGCCTTGCATGCAGAAGGTCCCAGGTTCAATGGTCGACAGCTCCAAGTAGGGCTGGGAGGGAACCTTCTCTGAAAATCTGGCTGCCTGCCAGTGTAGAGAATACTGAGCTAGATGGACCAAGTGTCTGACTCAGGCCAAGACAGCTTCCTATGTTCCTCCGCATCAGTTCTCCTACTTTTAATGGGTAACTATATCCTGTATAGGGACGTGAGTGGCGCTGTGGGTTAAACCACAGAGCCTAGGGCTTGCCGATCAGAAGGTTGGTGGTTCGAATCCCCAGGACGGGGTGAGCTCCCATTGCTCGGTCCCTGCTTCTGCCAATCTAGCAGTTTGAAAGCACGTCAAAGTGCAAGTAGATAAATAGGTACCGCTCCGGCGGGAAGGTAAACAGCGTTTCCGTGCGCTGCTCTGGTTCGCCAGAAGCGGCTTAGTCATGCTGGCCACATGACCCGGAAGCTGTACGCTGTCTCCCTCGGCCAATAGAGCGAGATGAGCACTGCAACCCCAGAGTCGGTCACGACTGGACCTAATGGTCAGGGGTTCCTTTACCTTTACCTTTATACCCTGCATGCACTATCTTCATGAGTTGTTCTAACTTTGCTCGGTTGCAGCTCCTCCCATGGTGACGCCACTGTTAACATTGGTGTGAATTTCTCTACTTTCTGCCCCAAGAGATGGAGCTGTCCAGAAGACGTATTACAGGTTCTGGATAACTTATGCTACACAGCTACAGGGGAAACGGTAGCCCGTGAGGTGTCCCAGTCAGCTGAGCAACATCAGGTGGAGAGAGTGATGACCTTTCTCCAAAAGTCCTCTAAGGAAGGGGAAATACTTGTCTCTTTCAAAGAAATGGATGAAGCTGAGCTGAGGAAGCTACAGGCACTGATCCAAACGGAACTGCAAACACAGATAGAGGAAAAGGTACAGAAACTGCGCTACATTGGCCTGGCTGCATCCAGATGTGGCTGTCAGGCTTTGGGGAAACAGCTTCCTCCCTCCCTTTGGCTGTGGATAAGCAGAACAAAGCAAAAATAGTCTCTTGCCGTTTAAAGAGATTTTAATGATCACAGCAAAAGAACAGAGTCCATTCTTGGAGTGAAGGTGCTCCCAGTTAAGGTTTCCACCCACTCCACCCCAAGTCACCTGAGTCACTTCCTCGTCTTGCAATCTGATCTCGCAACCACTGTGCCTTCTGTGGAGCTACCTTATCTAATCTCCTTGACCTTGGACTGATCGGCTGGACACTTTCTAGCGAACCGGACTCTGTTCTCTCTCTCTCTCTCTCTCTCTCTCTCTCTCTCCCAGTTCTTTTTCTCCCAGCTATTCACTACCCAGTTCTTCCTAACTTTTGTCTTCTGAACTCTGTCCCTCTGCAAACCACTGCTCCAAATCTATACTGTCCCACTGCTCCTGAGAAAATTCAGGATCCTGATCCGGAGCAGGGGGGAGGCTCCCACCCTCCTCAGCATGGTCCCTGACAGTGCCCCAAACTCAGGATTCATCTGTAACGTGTCAGGAAAAGGCAACAGCTAGAGGTAGAACACCGACTCTGCATGCATAAGGTCTGCATGCAATGGTCTGACTCTGCGATTATCCACACTTGCCTTTCATCCACTCTTCCCTTCATCCTTTTAAAAATGGTTTAACAAGGGTTTCTCAATGTTTCCTCCAGCTGGAGGCCAAAGAAATGGAAGCGATTCAGGAGGTGGCCAAGCAGACCCCAGGCCCCGCGGCTGCTGAACAATTGGCGTATTTTCTCCTGACTCAGAGGCATCTACGGCAAACAGTCTTGGTATCGGAAGGTATCTCGAGGCTTCAAAAAGCAGGCCCCAGAACACCAGGCGATGAGAGCTCCACAGAAGACCTTGCTCAGGAGGTAGGGACATGTGTTCCTGCCAATGGACGTCTCTAAGATATTTTTGATAGTGGAGAAGAATGGCTGTCAAAATTGCAGCATTGTGCAGATACTACAGGTCAGCTACTCTGAGTGCTGGAAGATTGACAGGATGTAAAGCTCTCTTATATTTAGCTTCAGCCAGCCTTCAGCAGCCTTTTGCTCTCCAATTGTTTTGGACTACAACTCCCATACATTTCAGCCAGGGGGCAGCCACTGGGAAGGCCCTGTCCCTCATTTGATTCAGCGGGGGGCACCCAGAGCAGGGGATCTTATGGTTCAGGTAGGTACATATGGGAGAAGGTGATCTTTCAGGTAACCTGGCACCAAGCAGGTACCTTTGAATGTCAGTTGCAGGGCAGCAGAAAGCAGGGGAGGTCTGTTTGCTTGTCAGCTTCCCAGAGGCTGAGCACAGTTGAAGGCAAGATTCTATGCTAGATAGAATGCACGCAGCAAAGCTCTTCTATTGCTCTCTTTAAACAAAATAAAAGAGGGTGGTATTGATCGTATTGAATCTGGCCCTTTCTGTGTTTCAGGAGCTGCTTGTGGATGAAGAGATGAAGGACATTGTTCAGCTGCTGAAGGGGAAAAAGGAGTATGAGGACTCCATGCTGGAGCTGCAACACACAGCACAGTTGCTGCAGTTGAGGGAGAGGCAATTTCAAGAGATGGTCCAAATGCTGAAGGCTCACTCCTCAGACAAGGTGACAATGAACTGACATTATTATGATGCATTGAAATTACATCCTGCTCTTCCTCCCCAAGCAGCCCAGGGTAGCAAACAGACACTTTAGAAACAAAAAAGAAAGCAAAAACAGTAAATACATATATATATATCAAAAAACCATTACAGTGGTACCTTGGGTTAAGAACTTAATTCGTTCTGGAGGTCCGTTCTTAACCTGAAACTGTTCTTAACCTGAGGTACCACTTTAGCTAATGGGGCCTCCCGCTGCTGTGCGATTTCTGTTCTCACCCTGAAGCAAAGTTCTTAACCCGAGGTACTATTTCTGGGTTAGCGGAGTCTGTAACCTGAAGCGTCTGTAACCTGAGGTACCACTATAGAAGGTTTGCTGTTGCAGCTCACTTCCTGTTTGCACTGGCTTGTCCTCTGCTACCTCCCAAAGCAGCCAGTTTGTGTTATGCCTCGTGGCAGCCATTTTGAATGCTACTCACAGCCTTTCCTCAAAATTCCAAGTGTGCCCACTGACCTGCGAAGACTCACAAGCCCTACATTAACAGTGACTATTTTTGCTGACTCCTCTGCTAACCTAACCACTGCCTATATCCTGTCTTTCTCTCTCGCTGTTGCAATGTGGCCTTCAAACAGCAGCGCCTGGAGGATGCTCGCCAGATAGCCAGTGGACTGCAGGACTTCAGGAAGCAGAAAACCAGAGAGCTGGCAGAGCTGCTGAGAACTTACCTGCTGGGCAGCCAGAAGGCAAAAGAGGGAACCTCAAGCAATCCCAGTCCCCCCCAGGTAGAATTGCCGTGGAAGCCACTGGTTTTCTGCAGGGAAGATTCAAATGAGGTTGCCAAATGAGAAGAAGTAAATCACTTCTTGTTTCTTAAAAAAAATTAATTAAAAGTCATGGTTTCTTTCTGCCCTGCAGAGTGAAAGTCCTCCTCTAGAAAAAAAAGGTAAAGGAGGAAAAGGAAAAGAGAAATGGGTGGATTCCCAAGAAGCTCGGTTGGTGGAGCTGGAGGAATCTTACCGGGAGCAAATACTGGAAGAGAAAGCCAAACTGGAGGATCAGCTGGAAAGAGGGGAAATGAAGAAGTGGTCAAAGCAGGTGGGAGCAGGAGGGCTGGCCCTCCTCCAAAGTGAATGAACATTGTCATTCAAATGGTGTTCATGCACCACGTCATGTGATCGATTATGTGGGGCGGGGCTTACCTGGGCACTCCAATATTTTTTTCCAAGTTGGCACCCCTGCATGACTTCTACACACACAAAATGTAGTTCTGTGTCACTGAAGGAGATACTGTAGTTCCTGGCTTCTGCAGTTTCCAGTATTGTGAGGTCTATTAAAGAGGCTCAGAGCATTATGCAGAAATGTCTCTAGTCTGCCCCAGCTGGACTCCAGGAGGTAGAGGGTCAGGACTCACAGATATTTAGAGGGAATGCAGACAGCAACTCAGGGCTTAACCCTTATTCTTGTTAGAAACTGATCAGAGAACATGATGAGACGGTGACCTTTCTGGGCAAGGCGTTTCGCCAAGATGTGCACAAGCTCAGAGGGAGGATGGAGAAAGATCAAAGGAGAAAATACTCAGGTCAAGAAGACGGAAATTCTCTGACGTCTGAAGCTGCCTCTTTGCCGGGACAAAACCAACCCAGCCTGGCTGAAGACAGAGTTCTCTCCCTCTTGGCAGAAAGTAAGTCTCCTTGGCTGCTAACAGAAAGTTAAGCCAGCCTTGTCACTCATCCATGGCTCAGTGAGCACTTTCAAAATAAAGTGAGTGACACTCAGTGATGGAAGCTGAGGCTTCAATCACATAAATGGAGAGACCTTCATTGGTTGCTAGCAAAGCTGATGATTTCGGAGTTGTTGTCTCAGACCAATAGCCCAATCTGAAGTTTGTTTACTTGGGTCATGTTAATGCCATGCATTTTAAACACTATTATACCACTTTAACAGCCATTTAAAGACAATTATGGGAGCTGTAGTTTGCTAAGGATGCTGAGACCTGCTAAGAGGTGTCCAATCGTCGTCGTCCCAGCTACAATTTCCAGAGAGGTTTAAAAAGAACCCCTCAGGGATCTCTGGAAATTGCAGCTCTGTGAAAGGACTAGGTTGTTGTTGTTGTTTAGTCGTTTAGTCGTGTCCGACTCTTCATGACCCCATGGACCAGAGCACGCCAGGCACTCCTGTCTTCCACTGCCTCCCGCAGTTTGGTCAAACTCATGCTGGTAGCTTCGAGAACACTGTCCAACCATCTCGTCCTCTGTCGTCCCCTTCTCCTTGTGCCCTCCATCTTTCCTAACGTCAGGGTCTTTTCCAGGGAGTCTTCTCTTCTCATGAGGTGGCCAAAATATTGGAGTCTCAGCTTCAGGATCTGTCCTTCCAGTGATTACTCAGGGCTGATTTCCTTCAGAATGGATAGGTTTGATCTTCTTGCAGTCCATGGGACTCTCAAGAGTCTCCTCCAGCACCATAATTCAAAAGCATCAATTCTTTGGCAATCAGCCTTCTTTATGGTCCAGCTCTCACTTCCATACATCACTACTGGGAAAACCATAGCTAGGTACCAAAGGACTAGGTACCTCCTAGCAACTCTCAGCACCTTTAGCAAACTACAGCTCCCATAATTCTTAGGGGAAGTCATGTCTATTTGAATGTATGGTGTAAATGTGGCATTGGTCAACGAATCCCATGGGGTCATAGCCATTTCCAGAGCAGCATGCTGAGCCCTCTCCAGAACTACTTTCTCTCACTCTCAATTTCGGTTTCTCCCACTTTTTCCTTTCTTAAGTTCAGTTCACCTCATTTATGCATCAGTATGCAAATTATCAAGCAAAAAATCTGCATGAAAATACAAGTGCATTTTCGGGCACATTTTTTAGCAACATAAGTTGTTTAGCTCAGCATTACCTACACTGACAGGCAGCAGCCATCCAGGATTTCAGGCAAGAAGCATTTCCAGCAATACATGGAGATGCTGGGATTGAATTTGGGATCTTCTGTATGCAAAACCAGTGCTCTACTACTAAGCTACAGCCCTTCCCCTGACAGTTTTTTCCTAATATATATGTACATGTTTTTCCCGTGATATCAGCCTTACACAAGCTTTTTGATGCTGTTTTTGATTGGGAAATGGCATCATCAAGTTTGGAGGAGTGTGAATCTCAAGGATAGTTGCATTAAGAAGAGAAATGAACTATTTCCCACCCCACAGACAGGAGGGGTGGCAGAGATATGAATGTGTCTACACCATTCTTTGTCTTAGATCACACTAACTAGATTAATAATAAATAATAATAATAAAAATTTATTTATATCCGGCCCGTCCCAGCCGAAGCTGGGCTCAGAGCGGCTAACAACAGTAAAATAATACAGCATTCTAAAATCAATGCTCTTCCCTTGCAGATATCAAGGTCTTGAAGCAAACTGAACTCCTAGTGAGTTTACGAACCACCCTGCTGAATCCTCGGTTCACAGCTCTTCTGTCTGGTAAGGCTTCCAAAGTGATTGTTGTCACATCATCTGATGCTATGTCTTACTTTTGCAAAGGATTGAAGGCTCCTGTGCACTCTGGAACGAGCTATATTGCATATGTTAGTTATGAAATGCGCCCTGTGAGTAGCCAAACTTGGCCAAAAAAAACACCTGCCAACAAGCAATGTGAATTCTCTTCCTGTTTGTGTAGATAGCAATGGAGCTGGTGGTATGACATCTTCCAAGCTCCTTGCTCTTCTGAAGGATGTGAATTGCCAAATCCAAAAGTGTGCAGCGGCAGTTGGACTGCTGGACGTCCATCGTCCGGAATATGGTAATTCCTTTGCATTGCACTCTCTGTTCTGCTTTCAGTAGACAAAGGCTTCAGCACCATGGACAGGTTCTTTTCTGGAGGGAGGCTACTGGATCAACAGCTTGATTGGGGCCTTGGTTCATTGCCTTTGAAGATATAACAGCTGTTCTTGCTCTCTGCCCCACCCGACCCCTCTGTCCATCTGTCTGTCTGTCTGTCTGTCTCTCTCTCTCTCTCTCTCTCTCTCACACACACACACACACACAATATAGCTACACCACTTTTACTCTTGTGTCTTATCTCTGTGGCCTTCTCCTTCTCCTCTCTGCTGCCCACTTCCTTTTCAAACCATCCCAAATTCTTTTAAGAATTGACACATCAGTACAAATCAAGTACCGTATTTTTCGCTCTATAAGATGCACCAGACCACAAGACACACCTAGTTTTTGGAGGAGGAAAACAAGAAAAAAAAATATTCTGAATCTCAGAAGCCAGAACAGCAAGAGGGATCACTGCACAGTGAAAGCAGCAATCCCTCTTGCTTTTCTGGCTTCAGGGATAGCTGTGCAGCCTGCATTTGCTCCATAAGACGCACACACATTTCCCCTTACTTTTTAGGAGAGAAAAAGTGAGTCTTATAGAGCAAAAAATATGGTAATTCATGAACACTTGATATGCATCCTTTTATCCTTAAAAGAAGTATTTTATTTTTGTCTCTGTTGCTTTAATTGAGGGACTTTGAAATGCATCAGCCTATATTGTACAAACAAGCAAAAGTAGTTAAAATGAAATACCCAAGAGAACAAATGTATTTTGGTTCATGTTTGTATTTCCTTGCAGATAAAGTAAATTCTTTTCAGGATATAATGGACACTCAGATGGTCCCTAAATCCAGAGATCTTGTCCCTCTGCTCACATCAACCCTTTCTGCGAGGGAATTTGTCGTGTACCAATACGGAATGGTGATCCTGAAATTCCTCAGGCCTCATATTGGCGTAAGTGTTCACAATATTTTTCAGGGAAACAATCCCATGGTGTGTACGATGGTACGCTTTGCATGGAACCCAGCAATTTGAGCAGAATCTTGAAAAAAATATTGAGTTTTAATGGCTCTGGACTGAAACATATGCAGAGGAATACAGTGGTACCTCGGGTTAAGAACTTAATTCGTTCTGGAGGTCCATTCTTAACTTGAAACTGTTCTTAACCTGAGGTACCACTTTAGCTAATGGGGTCTCCCGCTGTTGCCGTGCCACCACTGCACAATTTCTGTTCTCATCCTGAAGCAAAGTTCTTAACCCGAGGTACTACTTCCGGGTTAGTGGAGTCTGTAACCTGAAGCATCTGTAACCTGAAGCATCTGTAATCTGAAGTGTCTGTAACCCGAGGTACCACTGTAATGCCATCTTCTACTCATGCTACTTTTGTGCCACCCCACCCCAAGAATTCCAAAAGCAAGAAAAGAGCAACAATGGTGCTATTCATTTAAAGCACTGAGAGACAGTATTTCTTCTCTTAACACAGCCTTCGCAAACATGGTGCCCTCCAGATGTTGTTTGACTACAATGCCCTTCATCCCTGACCATTGGCCATGCTGGCTGCTGGTTCTGCTGAGCGCTGGAGTCCAACAACATCTGCAGCACCGGGAAGACGAAGGCTGCCTTAGCTGTCCATCACTCCACATGGCTCCCAGTTCATATCACTCTCTCCCTAAAGACTTTATTCCTTTTCGTCTGCAAGTTCTGTGAGCTTCAGCCCTTCTGTGATGTATTGCAACAATGGAAAACCTCCCCCAAAGAAATGGCCAAGTTAGCCCTCCAAAACATTGAGCAAAGTGGTTTGATTTCATGTCTGTAATTAAAGAACAGGCAGATTGAACATGAGGGATGTTTTGTATTTGAGAAAGTGGCAGTCTTATTCTAAATTTTGATCAGATGTGGCTTGTGCTTTGGACGTACAGTGCACCAGAGAGGCAAAGCATATCCATAACAGATGGTTTTCTTTCAATGTTAGGCACCAGAGATTGATCTGTGTGTTGCTTCCAGCATTCCTTCCAGCAACACACCAGGAAATGCCTTCCGGAACTCTTTCCATTATCAGGTACGTCCTCTTGACAGAGGGAATCTTCTCCAAAACAAAATGAAGAACAAATGTCCCACGTAAATGAATGTATGGACCTTCCTTACATCATGTCAGGCCTTTGGTCCACCTGGGGGAGGTGTGGGGAACCTCAGACCCAAAGGATAAGTGTCCAAGCCTCTCTATCTGGCCATGGGACTCTAGCTGCCAGGTACTTGGAAGCATCCCATAATGAATTTTGACATGTGGGAGGGACAACTGGCCTGTCAATCATGTGGTGTCACATTATTGATATACTGTAGTTGACATGTGGGTTGTTCTGCCCATCTGTCAAAGGTGGCCCTTAGGATGGGACCAAATACCAGGTGCAGGTCCCAGCACCAAAAAGTTTATCCACTCCTTAAAGTATGGAATTCACTCCCACTAGACGTAATGTTAGCCAGCAACTTAGAAAGCTTTAAAAGGGTATTAGAAAATCCCTGGGTGGTATCACTGGTTGCTAGTTGTAGTGGCGGTGTCCTCCTGTCAGGCTTTGGGGAATCAGATCCCTCTCCTGGTGGCAGTAAATAAGCAGATCAAACGAAAGGAGCGTTCTTACCAGGTAAGTTCTTTAATAATCACAGCGAGAGACAAAGGAATGCATCTCTCTCTAAAAAAGGGCATTGCTCCCAGTAAAGGTTCACCCTCTCCGTCCCCATTAATCTACGTCACTCCTATGTTGGGTAATCTGAGCTTGTTGGCGCTGCGCTTTCTGTTCTATCACTCTCATAGCCCGTCTAGTCTTAGGTGAAGGGAGGTCAAGAAAGGATTCTAAAGACAGTGAATCTGCCAGCTGTCTCTCTCCTGCTGTTTCCTCTTCTAGCTGTTCCTCACCCAGTATTTCCCAGCTTTCCCCCTCTGGACTATGCCCCTCTGCAAACCGCTGTTCTAAATCAATACTGCCCTCCTGCCATTGGGAAGGTTCAGAAAAGGGGGAGTGCAGCTCCCACCATTCCTCCTCAGTCCAGTCCCTGACACCTCCTCTGCTATTGGAGACAGTGTGCCTCTGAAAACCAGTCACCGGGGGACACAGGTGAGACAGTGCAATTGTGGTCACCTCCTGCTTGCAGGCTTCCCATAATGGGCATCTGGTCGGCCACTGGGAGGACAGAGCACTGAGCCAGATGGGCCTTTGAGTCAGGCTCTTCTTGTGAATTCTGAGAAAGGAAAGAGGGAGAGAAAGAGGGAGAGAGGGAGGGGGGGCACAGAAGATTGGAGAGCTTTATAAGTATCAAAAGCCTGAAGGCGAAGGACCTTGAGCTAAAAGCATCAGTCCTCAGTCTCTCTCATGTGTTCAGTATTTACCTATTTATTTAAATGTTGCCTTTTCGCCTTCCTTAGACCTCTGGCAACAAACTGTTCGTTCTAAGGGAGTGCCTGAGTTGCGTGGGCAGTTTTATCCTGCTTCTTGTTCACTGCCTGGCCCACATCACTGCCGAAGACCTCAGCCAGGATTCCAGCCCAGCTTTTCGGAGGCTCTTTTACCAGGTACAAAGCAGTCATAACCGCGCTGTAAATCTGTGGACACTTAAAGTGCCTGGTAGTTAAAGGTTGGGACGCGGGTGGCGCTGTGGGTTAAACCACAGAGCCTAGGACTTGCCGATCAGAAGGTCAGCAGTTCGAATCCCCGCGACAGGGTGAGCTCCCATTGCTCGGTCCCTGCTCCTGCCAACCTAACAGTTCGGAAGCACATCAAAGTGCAAGTAGATAAATAGGTTCCGCTCCGGCGGGAAGGTAAACGGTGTTTCTGTGCGCTGCTCTGGTTCTCCAGAAGCGGCTTAGTCATGCTGGCCACATGACCCGGAAGCTGTATGTCGGCTCCCTCAGCCAATAAAGCGAGATGAGCGCCGCAACCTCAGAGTCGGCCACGACTGGACCTAATGGTCAGGGGCCCCTTTACTTTTACTAGTTAAGGGTTGGCGGCCCCTTGGGTGAGACTCCAGGTGTGAGCAGACTGGGAAAGAGCAATGTGGCATCCATCTGTGAATTCCTGTCATGGAGAAGCTAGTAAAAGTGTTCCCTGGACCCACGCAAAGAAAACAGGGACCAGAACCTCACATAACTATACTGCTGAGCTGCTGTGCCCAGGGTCAGTGTGTCATTTCTGTTAATATATATAGTTTATATGCAGCAGCAGTTAATATTAGTTAAATGAATCCTTTACTTGGAGCACACCCTCAGTTGAACAGTATTCAGATTGACACTTTGTATAAAATAAGGAAGTTTGTGTTTATTAAAGGAAGTACATTCTGGATAGGAAAGAATTCTATAGCTCTAGCTAACTGTCTGTTTGGAGAAGCAAAGCAGCCATGCTTGCCCCTTTGTTCTCAGAAGATAGATCCAAGATGACCTCTTGTCTTGAGGTCCAGAGAAAGAATGGGAGGAGGAGCAGGAAGCTATAAACAGGATGCAACCTAAGACATATCAGTCTAAACATCGGAGAGATAAAGAAAAGTCATTGCAGGGATAGTCACAGGGATGGTTTGGGGTCTTCACCCATGCAAACCCCTCCCAGCAAGCTGAATTGCACCCAAACTTCCAACAATTTCTATGTGCATCTGTATGAAAATCAGCAAGGGTTTTGGTGTGCTGCTTCCTTCCTAGCTCCTCTCTGTGTTTCATTAAAAAAGCAGAGATAGAAATTTAGAAAACCAAGCAGGGTTGCTGTTAATCTGGGCCCTGCCAGGCCTGTACAGGCAAACCTCATTTTATTGTGTTTCGCTTTACTGTAGTTTGCAGATACTGCTTCTTACAAGGACATGGGTGCAGCTGCAGATCGCCTGCCCTGTGTCGTGGGTCCACACACACCCCGCCCCCGCCCCTACTACTCCTCTTCTCCAGTGGATCTGTAGCCAGGTTTTTCCCTTTCCACCCCTATAGACTACAGTAAAGTGTAAACATAACTTTTATATGCATTGGGAAACACAAAAATGTGTGAGACTCACTCTACAGCCATACCTCAGGTTACAGCCACTTCAGGTTGCATTTTTTCAGGTTACACACCCACCAAAACCCGGAAGTACTGGAATGGGTTACTTCCAGGTTTTGGCAGTCGCGCATGCGCAGAAGCGCTAAATCGCGTTTTGTGCGTGCGCAGAAGCACCAAATTGCAACCTGCGTGTGCGCAGATGCGCCGCTGTGGGTTGCAAACATGCATCCCGCATGGATCATGTTTAAAACCCGAGCGTCCAATGTATTGCAAAATTCAGTTCATTGCAGTGGAGCCAAGCCCACAATATCTCTGAGGTATATGCATCACACCCAGGGGTTATGGTGTGCTTTGTGCACACAGTAGAACAGCCATGATGGGTGAAAATGGATTGTGTGTGTCTCTTCTGCAGAAGCTGCTTGGATCTTTATGCACCTATTATGCCCAGCAGTGGAAGTTGTAGGGGCTGCTTTTACATACTCTGTTGTGCACATTCCCTTTAGCCTGCGCCACAATTCACAGTGCCTTTCAGTGCCAGCCACCTGAATATATTTTTTTTAACACTTTAAAATATCTGCACTTCCTCTGCCACTGTCCTCTGGTCCCTGACCTGGACCAGGTTCCAGCCCAGCTCAGCCAAGGAGCAAAATATTTGAAATCTGCAAGCCCACTACTGAGATTGGTCACGTTGATGTTGTGTCATTGATTCACCAGAATTTAAGGGCCCTAATCAACCTGGGCCCAATGAGGTGTCTGGGTTAATTTTCTAGGCAACTAGAAGTCCATCCAGGAATTTGCTTCCAGCTCTGCTATGCTCCGATGAGTGACTTGCCTGCACCATGAAAATAGCTCCAAGGGATTCTTTGAGACCAACAGATTCAGCTTGCCATGAACTCACCTGAAAAGTTATTCTGATAATTTTTCTTTCTTTACCCCTACCCTTCCTTCATATTTCTCTTAATTTTTGCTACCTTGAAATAATGTGCATTAAGCATACTTAAGCAGAGGGTGCAATATATATATATATTTATATATTAACTATATTATTTATCATTGCATCTAAGGCACTCAAGGCTTGCCTGGGTGAAATGTTCTCTCTCAGGCTTCAGACGTCAGCAGTTCTGGAGGACAGTAAATCCGCAGCTATGATGATTAACGAGGCTTTTCTGAAGGGAGAGGGGCTCGCAGATGAGAAAATCAATCTCCTCTCAGGGCTCTTGGATGCCAAAGTGAAGCCTTCTGAAGACTTAGAGGAGGAGGTAATTCTTCACACACACACACCAGTCCACTCTCCACCCCTTCCCAGGGTCCCTTGTGCCACCCCAGAGAGAAAGACTGGTTGCTTCTCAGTCAAGAGTGAAGAAGGCTGGGATAGCCCCGGACAACTTCACTATATGTTTATGAATTTGCAAGGGGGGTTGCAAAAAAATATATACCGTATTTTTCCATGTATAAGACTAGGTTTTTCCCCCTTAAAAATAATGTCAAAAATCAGGGGGCGTTTTATACATGGATACATCTCCCCCCATTTTCTTAAATCTGAGTCCCCCAAAATAGGGGGCGTCTTATAGACGGAAAAATACGGTATGTTGCAGCATGGAGAAATTCCTGTTCAAGCTTCCAGCTAGCTGTGTCCTTTTCTAGGATATTCCATTCCCCCTTTTCCCCTCCCCAGTTTTCTGTGCCATCCCCAAAGCAGCAGGTCAGCATACTACTTTTAAATGATCACAAAGTATTAAAAAGCAAAAGTCACATACAAAGCCACTAATATCTAGCAAAGCTACAAAACAGAAGGTGGGAGACTTATTGCCCTGCAGTTGCTGTAGTTGATCTCCAACTCCCATCAGTATCCAACAGGTCAGTCAGGGATGATGGAGGTTATAGTTCAACAATACCTGGCCATGGCTCCCTGTCCTTGACATACAACCAGCACAGAAGTTCCCACCTGCCTGCATAACCCATCAGATGTACCCAATAGCACCTGCTGCTTTGTCGAATTCTAGGGTTGGAAGGTCCACCAAAGGTCACCTAACCCCCTGGATGCAACGCTAGAGAAGCAAATTCATTAATGGTCACCTTGCCTTTCTTTGCAAGCATGAGAGCCTCTTGCTTGACGTGGATTTTGACGACTCGCTCAGAAGCAAACTGCCCGGAAAGAAGAAGGAATGTTACTCCCACATCTTGCCCAGCGGCCAGGAGATTCTCCCATCGACAAGGTGAGAGTGGTCCAAGTCACAAGTGGTGGTTGATGAAAATGTACTGAAAACAGGTGGATAGTCAGCCTGGGGCCCTCCAGACGTTGCTGGATTGCAGACCCCATCATCCTTGACCATTGGGCATGCTGGCACAAGCTGATGGGTGTTGGAGTCCAACAGGAACATCAGGAAGGCACCGTACTGGCTGTAGTTAAAGAACCGAATTGTGTGTTGCTGCTTGCCTCCATCGCAACCCTGTCCTGCTCGCTTTCAGCTCATACAAGGTCTTGCTCTGTGGCAGTGCAACAGATTCCCCACTTTGCCACTCTGAAACTATGCACTTTGTACCTTGCTCAGTCTAGAATCCCAGAACTAGTAGCACGAGGCTGGTGGAGCACTGTGGCATGCATCCTGTGGTGCTTTTCTCAAGTGCTTCAGATGTTGCATGCATTATTATTGTCATTATTTATTAAATTCATATACTGACCTTCATTCGAAGATCACAGGGTGACTAAAAACATAAAAACACAAAATATATAGCATAATAACACAAAACAATGCCCCCACCCCTCAAAAAAAAAGACATTTAAAAGGCCATAGATTGTTTAATCAACTAAAGGCCTGGTTGAAGAGTTCACCTGGTGCCCAGAGATATGTACTGAAGTCTCCCTGGTCAGCCTCCCTGGAGAGAGCATTCCACAAACTGGGAGCCACTGTAGAAAAGGCCCTTTCTCATGTTGCCACCCTCCGGGCCTCTCGTGGAAGAGGCACATGACGAAGGGCTTCACAAGATGATTCCAGTGTCTGGGTTGGTTCATATGGAGAGAGGTGGTCCCTGAGGTATTTTAGTCCTGGGCCACTTAAGGCCTTATAGGTCAAAACCTGCACTTTGAATTAGATTCAGAAACTAATCGGAAGCCAGTGCAGTGCAGTGTAAACACTTAAGGTTTAGTTTGTTCAGCGAAACTGGCTTTGTGAAGATGTCCAAACCCAGCCCAGCAGATTGTGAAACAGTTGCTGTTGCCATTTTAGCTATAGTTTGGCATTATGCCTTACCACAACTTCCTTGCATAGCCATACGTTTGTCCGCGCCATCTCCAATGCTCACCAAATTGCTTGTCTGTGAGACAAGCCATAGTTCATTGAACAAAATGATTAAAGCAAACCATGGCTTAGTGTTATGTGTCAGTGCATTCAGTGTCTCAGTCATCTGTACAACAACCTTTGAAAGTAGACCAATGTTGCAGGTATTGAGGGCTGGAAGAGAGCAGCTGAGCAATGGCAACCAAAGGCTAATGGAAAGCATGAAGTCGGGAAGATAAATCTCCGAAGTCACATCCACAACATACATTTATATCTTGTGGCTTCCCATAGACTCCTAGGAACTGTAATTTGTCAATGGTGTTGGAAACTGTAGCTCTGCAAGAGGTGGACTACAATTCCCATGATTCTTTAGAGGGCAACCATGACTATAAAAGTATTGTAAATGTGCTTTAAATGTATGGGTGTGGATATGGGTTCAATTACTACACAGCATGCACCAAGGCCTGTCAGGAACGTGCCCCCCCCCCCAGCACACTGGGAGAGTCAGCCTTGGAAATTGAGCTGAGCGAGGAAGAGGCTGGCTGTGGATGAGAATTGTTTGTCTGATTTTAGAGAGAACAGTCTGGGGCCCCTCCTCTCCAGGGAAGAAGTGATTAGTTCCCAAGGGGAGGAGGAGTTGGATGTCGGCCAAGGCATTGCCAGGCAACCAGCAGATAAGGTGGTGTTAGAGGCTGAGTCTTCTGAGGAAGGGGTAGCTCAGCCCTGTGGTCCCAAAATGAGGAGATTAGAGAGACTCTGAGAGCAACGGAAGGGAAGGAGATGAAAGGCGGGATTTTGGCGTTCTTCCTGTTGGGGAAGGAACGATGAGTCAGACTGAGCAACTAGATTAATGAGAGCAGGCAGATTGCCATGCTCTGAATGTGTTTTTCTTTCAAATAAACTTGTATAAAACTGATGGACAGTCTTCGCTGTTTTATCGGGCTGCTCGCTTGGCCAGAGATCATTATAAGGCCTGACCTGACCCTTCTTCCCTTTCCTTAGCTCACAGGCCAGCAGTTACCCCCACACCACCCCCGAAGCAGCAGCAGACAAGCTGGATGTGCTCAACGAGAAGCTGGTGACACTCCTGCAAGAGGAGGAAGAGTGCATCTCCAGGAGCGGAGATGATGGAGCTTCACTGTTTGATGAGCTCAAGGCCATCGGCTTGGAGAAAGACTCTCTGCTGAAGGAAATAAAAGCCCTGAAAAGGAAAGTGGCAGAAGCCAAAAAGGGGAGGCTGGAATGAATCCATGGAGTCTTAGAAAAGCAATGGGGGCAGGAGTGAGAGAGGCAACAAGTTAGGATTGTGCCTCTCAGGTGGGCACCATTGCCATTTTTAGAGAGCGAGGTTCATGGTGAGTTCCGGCATCCTTTTTTTCTAGAAGAATAGCATTGGAGACTCCTAATCGCCCCCAAATGCTTGACTTGACATAGCTGCCTGTTTTCTCTCCTTCTACCCCAATGTACATCTGCAACAAGTGTAATGTCATCTTGCAGCTTAAGCCAAGAATGGCAAGAGTCAGTCACCAGGACATGATTAGCAAAGGATTCCAGTTCTCAGTACAATTGGTTAGTTATGGCAAGGCCCACACAAACACAGTAAGGCTGGTAAAGACCATTCCCAAGGCAATGCGTACATAACCTAAAATATTTCTCCAATGAAAATAAGGGCATCCTAAATAATAATAATAATAATAATAATAATAATAATAAATACCCTGCACATTTCACTAGGTTGCCCCAGCCACTCTGGGGTGGCTTCCAACACATATAAAAACATAACAAAAGATTGAACATTAAAAAAAAAACCTTCCCTATACAGGGCTGCCTTCAGAGGTCTTCTAAAAGTTGTATAGTTACTCCTTGGCTCACAAGGTTGCACAACTCCATACTCTCCAACATTTGTCCGATGAAAATAGGGACGTCCTAAGGAAAAGCGGGGCGTTCCAGGATCAAATCACGAAACCAGGATGGCTTCTGTAAATTTGGGACTCTCCCTGGAAAATAGGGCCACTTGGAGGGTCTGTGCTTAGTGGGAATCTGAGATTAAAAGGGAGATCGGATGGAGGCCCCATCCTTTGCCATTTGTAGATGAAAACACTGAGCACGGGAAACTGCCTTATAGCTAGTGAGGCCATCGATCAATCTAGCTTAGTATTGGTAAGACTGATCGCACCAGCCCAGGTCTCCAAGTATGGAGTATGGAGAATTCTCAGCCCTACCTGCAGATGCTGAGGATTGAACCTGTGACCTTTCGCATGCAAGGTAGATGCTCTGCCATTGAGCAATTCCCCCTGAAGAGTCTCTGATTACATCATGCCAGATACTTCCTTCCCTAGCCCATCTTCCTGTTGCTTCCACTTGAAAAGGCTATCAACATTAAGCTAGAAGGAAATACCAAATATATATTTAGTGGCTGACCTCATCTCTGAAGGTTTATTCACGTTGGCTTTGGGGGAAAGTAACATTTGCCACAGCTTGGCATTCGTATCACTGCATTTTTAGAACAAGGGAGCGAGGAGGATGTGGGGGAACCTTGTTGATGGGGTAGGGGGGCAGAGATCATTTGTCCTCATGTCTGCCTGTGGAGACAGGCAACCTATGAAGATAAGCAGGGATAAACTGGGGAGTTGCAAGAGAAATTAGTACAAGGTCAACCTCGGGCAGAGGGCCTCAAAACCCACTGCAAAAACTTTGCTCTCCTAAACTTTGTGTTCCGTTACCACTTCGCCACCACATGTTCAGACATGTCCCTGCCACAGTAACGGTTTCCCCAATAAAGTTAAAACCAAATCTGAAAAGGACTCGATTGTCCAGTGGGATGATTCATGCCCTACAGGAGGAATTTGCAACAAGGCAGTGTGCACACACTCCAAACTGGCAGGCATTTTGCTCCCCACCTGCCCCACACTTTCCTTTATCAGCAGGTTTTTGGGGGGTTTTGTCCATTAGGCACTAATAGCCCACTCCCAAACCCTCACTTTAAACATCTATTGCAAATCAAGTAAACATATCTAGCATTGTGCCACAACAGCAGAATTCATACCGAGCCAACAAACAGATAAAGCTTTCCTTCTCTCTGAGAGTAAGCCGTGTTTATATTCCCTGCATGGGAGGAACGATTTACATCAGCCTTTTAACTTGGCAAGGGATGGGCACTTTCCAAGAAAGCATTTCTCATGTTAATAGCCTCAAGAGTACAGTTATGGGCAGCTGTGGTGCCAGGCCAAGAAATTTTGCTGCTGAGTCAAGAAGCAAGACTCTGTACGTGTGCCCCACGCAGCAGGAGTCACCAACCTTTTTAGACTTGTGGGCACATTTGGATTCTTGAGAGAGTGCTGTGGGAACCACGCCCTCTGGTCATTTCCCCCCTGTGCCCCCCTGCATCAGCTAGAGACAGGGGTCTACGCAGTGTTTTTCTGGTGGTGGTAATCACCAGTATGGTACACCATCACGTCTAATTTTTTTTTGCTGCCAATGGCAGCCATTTTGTCCCAGCCTCCACAGCACTTTTATGAAGATATGAGTACTAGCACCTCATTTTTTTTAACAAACAAACAAAAAAAGCACTGAGTATATATGAGTACACAAACTTCTGTTTCACAAGGGATCTGTGTAAACATCAAGGGCCAACAGAAATAATCTGAGCTTTACAAATCATATACAGCTTAGGCCCAGGCTATCTGCCGGACTGCAGTGCAATGCCATTCTCTGGCCAAGTTATGTGTACAAAAATGCACATACAGTTTTCAAACGTAATCCGTTGCGGAAGACAGTTCGACTTCCAAAATGTTCGAAAAACAAAAACTGAAAGCAGAAGCCTCAGTACAATAGGGAAACTCAAAACTGAAGCCACATGGCATGTTTGGCTTCTGAAAATGGTTCGAAAACCAAAGCAGTTGCTTTCAGGTTTTCGACATTCGGAAGTTGAAATGTTCTACTTCCGAGACGTTCAAAAACCAAGGTTCCACTGTACTGTAAACTGTACATAAAATGCATTGTTTTAGGGGAAATTGCCTTGCAGAAGTATGTATCATAATCAACATTGCATAAAAACACATCCATATTAAGGAAATTTGCTTTAAAATGCTAATGAATTATCATGAGGCCTTTAAAAAGTAATAATAACTGCAAACCAGCTTGGAAACATGGAAAGCTGGAAATTAAAAAGAGTGGGGGGCGGGGAATGAGAAACCAAAATTGACAGATTCATCCACTCTTAGTCTTGAGCCAACCTAAGCAAAACAAAAACAAAAGCAGGTGTTTGGGGTTTTTTTTAATAAAACAAGCACATTTTATTAGTAATTAATTTCCTTTTTAAGATTTCCACAAAGTTGTCATTAGGCAGTTCCATTTTCAGTCTTGCCATAAAAATACATTAAAAGCATTCAATTAAAAGTTATCTTTAGCCTTCAGGTGTATCAGTTTAAAAGGTTTTACAAACACAAACGAAATAAGAAAAGAAGTAGCTGGCGACAGTGACAGGCAAGAGTTGAAATAAATGCTTCGAAAGAAGACCTTTATTTGAACATCCTGGTATAGCTTCCAGCTTCCTCCCACATATTGTCCAAAGAGTTATTCTTCCCCAGTGCCTTAGTGGGGAGGTGCTGTCCATCATTATCGATTGGCGTTGACCCAGTGGTATCTGTCTACTCGTGGACCAGTGAAGGTGGATGACGGCCGACAGACTTTGTAGCCCTTGCACTGAAGGCAGCATGTACTGGTGGGATGCTGGTGGGATCCATCAGGTACATGAAGCTTTCGCCGAGGATACTGGGACCATAGCTGAAATGGCTCATGGCACTGAGATTAAATCAAGAGGGAGGGCCAGGAGTGGGGAGGGGTTTTGGAGAGAGAAGGTATATTTTGTGCTTGTGTATAGTCTGAAATAGCACAGCAACTCAATCCAGCCTTACTGTGAAGTTCAACTGAATCAAGAAATTCAATCCTACTACAGCAGGCATCCCCAAACTCGGCCCGCCAGATGTTTTTGGACTACAACTCCCATCATCCCTAGCTAACAGGACCAGTGGTCAGGGATGATGGGAATTGTAGTCCCAAAACTTGGCGGGTGAGTTTGGGGGTGCCTGCTGTAGTAGGAATGAATTTCTTGACCTAGTGACCTAGTGACATGGCAACTGGGCAAGTTGTTAAATACAAGACTATCCTTGTCTCATTTTATCCCATTCCTGCAGCAGTCTTAAGCTCTTTTGCCAGACATAATTTCTTTTCCATCAACAACCTCCTTCCCCAGGCTGCTAGATGGGAACCTGGTCATCCCCTCTGCAGAGACCAGCTCTTCCCAAACACTTTCCGTTCAAGTTGGTCATCCTAAGAACTTTGTAGCTTTAAGAACTGGTGCCCACACTTGTTTGTTTTCTTCCTCTATTCTCATCCTCCTTCCCTTATACAGTGGTACCTCGGATTACAAACACCTTGGGTTACAAACACTTTGGGTTACAGACTCCGCTAACCTGGAAGTAGTACCTTGGGTTGAGAACTTTACCTTGGGATGAGAACAGAAATCGTGTACGGTTTTATATTAAGAACGGACCTCCGGAACAAATTAAGTTTGTAACCAGAGGTACCACTGTATGTTAGTCCCCTGCAAGAACCATCTTGTTTAATCATCATCATCATTTGTGGGCCATAGCACACAACAGCTTGGATCATTCAATTTGAACCTTGAGGGTTAATTCTGTTAGGGTTAGGTTAACTACCCAAGAGGGGGGAAGGGTGCGGGTGTTCCTTAGCAACCAAGGTGGATGGCAAGATAGTTAGTGACACAGACCATGATCTGATTGGCTGTGTAGTTCCAAGGTAGTTTCCTCTGTATGTTTTGTTTAGTGTCTCCCTGCTATGTACAAGGCCTGAACTAAGAAAGACAAAACATATGTTTGATGCAGTTTTCCTCAATAAATTGTTATCAGGATTTCTTTCATCTCTGGATTTTGCCTGTGTTGTTTAAGTTACTTTGCTAACTTGGTTTGCATGCGAAAAGTCCTAGGTTTAATCCCTGCCATCTCTAGGTAGCCCTGAGACACTTCTGTCTGAAACCCTGGAGAGCAGCTACCAGTCAGTGTAGACATTACTGAGCTAGATGGGCCAAGGGCCTGATTCGGTATAAGACAGTTTCGTATGGAAACCATTCTAAGAGCCCATTGGTTCCAGGAACATCTATATTTTAAAATGGTCTCATTCTGGCCACTTCCCTGCTATTCCCCCTTTAATATGAGTTTAACAGGTTTGTCCCCTTCCATATATATATTCTTTAAAACTGTAGGGCAGGGATGGGAAACCTTTTTCAGCCTAAGGTCTGGATCAAGAACTGGCCTACAGGTGAGCAGAACAGCTTGTCTTGAAAGGGGCTCACTGCCCATGCTAATCAGCTGACAGCAAGCCTGGCCTTCTCTCTCTGCAGGTACCCTTTGAATTCAAATGGGTGTATCCTTGCAAGCTCTGCTCACCAAAATTAATGGGTGCAGCTGATTTAGGTGCATTACTTCCAGCAGGTCTACCCTGAGCAGAACTTGGTTGGAAAGAAACCAAACAGCACCTTAAAAGGCACATTTCCCCCACAAAGGTGTCTGCCAAGAAACAGCATCTGCTTGCGGGTCAGGATTATTTCAAAGGGCATTCACTGCTGGCATATGCCACGAGTGAAGTCCCTTGCCAAGGAACTACCCTAAGGACCCTTTCAGCTCCCAGCTGTTCCTTTGCAGTTGCATCTTTACCCGCCCTCTACCCCTGATGTTGCACGTGGTAGTAGGTGGATATGGCTTGCAGGCAGGGAAACAGCCTCACAGGCCAAATGAGGCTGCCTCAGTGGAAGAGATGGGAAGCTGAGCTCACTCCATCAGTTCTGCTGTGACAGGTCCATCAGGCCTCCTCTCTCCCCTCCATCACCTGGGGGCAGCTAGTCCATCACACCGCCATATTGGGAGAGATGAGAAGCTCATTCCATCAGCTTTGCTGAAGGACCAGCTTCATCAGGAACACACACACACCCCGAGCTAGTCCTTATGACAACAACTGCTTAAGAATTGGTGTCAGAGTTTGATTCCCCCCCACCCCGTCCTTGCATGCCATGTTTTATTTTTATTTTTTTAGAATGTCACCCTGCAGGCAGGGATTGTCTTGTTTCAATTGTATGTTGTCACTCTGAAGGCCTTTTCGGCAGAAGAGCAGGGTACAAACACTCTAAATCAGTGTGCCAGCTGTTGTTGGACTACATCTCCCATCATCCCTAGCTAGCAGGACCAGTGGTCAGCAATGATGGGAATTGTAGTCCAAAAGCAACTAGCTTGGGAAATCCTGCTCTAAAAAAGAAATAAACAAGGAGCTCCGCTGAGACTAATTAAGTTTGCAGGATGGAGGTTCCCCCTAGACAGGTACGCCAGGAAACCCAGCCAGATGGGTGGGGTATAAATAATAAAATTATTATTATCATTATTATCCGCTATGCCCCAGTCAGTCCTAGCAGCAAAAGCATTGAGAGAAAGCAGACGAAAGCTACTCACTACTCATCCATGGCGAGCTGCTCTCTCACCTGGTAGACGCTGTTTGGGTTGCTCACGGTGGGGATGTTTTGGGGCTCGACAGTGGCACCCTCCTCATCAGAGCAGATGCTAGAGGGGCAGTCCAGGGCCTCTGCCTTATCCACAGCCTGCCTGATTTGCTGAGGGACATCGTGGTCCTTTTTGTCCTCTTCAAAGTGAGCCACTGTAAAAGGCTGGTTATTCTCCCCATATCTAGACATAGAGAAGGACAGAGAGAAGGTCAAGGCTCACCAAGCAGTTCTAGGCAGAGAAGCCAAAACATCTTCCTTATGGGATTCATCCAGTCCAAGTTTGCATGGGATGGCTCTAATTGCAGGCTAAAAAAGGTAAAGGGACCCCTGACCATTAGGTCCAGTCGTGACCGACTCTGGGGTTGCGGCGCTCATCTCGCTTTATTGGCCAAGGGAGCCGGCATACAGCTTCTGGGTCATGTGGCCAGCATGTCTAAGCCACTTCTGGCGAACCAGAGCAGCGCACGGAAATGCCGTTTACCTTCCTGCTAGAGTGGTACCTATTTATCTACTTGCACTTTGATGTGCTTTCGAAATGCTAGGTTGGCAGGAGCAGGGACTGAGCAACGGGAGCTCACCCCGTCACGGGGATTTGAACCACCGACCTTCTGATTGGCAAGTCCTAGGCTCTGTGGTTTAACCCACAGTGCCACCCGCGTCCCCAATTGCAGGCTACATCAATACTAAAAGTGGAGTCCTAGCATTGATTGGCAGCCAGAGCATTCAAAGTTTTAGCCTATGGGGCTAAATTGGAAGGGATTTAGACTGAGAACTGGTATAAAATAAGAAAGCTTATGCTCTTTAAGGGGAGTGCATTCTTGATAAGAGTCAGTTCCATAGTCCTAGCTAACTAACGAGCTGGAGAAACAAGGAAGCCACGCTTGACCTCTGATCTCATAAGAGACCCAGATAAAAGTGTGAGAAGGTAGGCATACATGAAAGAGGATGCAATTTTACACACATCACTTTGATTTCAAGGGATACATCAGCAGAGGTGGGGGGGGGCCGCAAAGGGGCCATGGCTCTGGGTTTATGATTTTGAGAGGGTGCAATGAGGTGCCCCCACAACAGGATCCCTCACCCCACCTTCTTCTCCTCATGGCCAGTGAAGGGAAGCCTGTGTGTGCCCCGTCCTTGGGTTGTCCAAAAAAGAGGGGGCAGGCCCCACCAGCACCCACCAAGGAGTGCAATGATAATAGCACCGTGCCACTCCTCTGCTGGGCTCTGGCGTGCGAGGGAGCTGCAGAGGCAGCTTCCTTGGCGACGGCCCAGCACCGCCGGGCTACCCTTTCCCCACCCTGGGCACCAGCAACCTGTCCTATGCCACTGTACAGAGATCCAAGGACAGAGACAGTCTAGGAATATGGAGGTCTCACACTCCATCTGTCTTCACCTCCTGTAGACCCATCTAAGCAAGCCAAGTTGCAGCTCCACTTCCAACACAAAGTACTTCAGTTTACTTGTTTTCTATCTAGTAGTGATCCTTACAATAGCCCTATAAGTAGGGCTATCTCTTCCTTGAGGTAGAATGAGGCAACTGCCTCAGCAGGCTCTTTGTGCTGGGTTACAGCAGCCACCCCGGCTATTTCTTCTAAGCTTCCCACTCCATCCATTCCCCTTTGTTGTCCTACAGGCTCTCTTAAGCCCCCTCATCTAACCTGACACCCCTGGCATGCCAAGGGACAGTGTTCCATCGTCAGTGCTGAGGCAGTGCTTAGCAATGTTGCTGCATCAGCCTTCAGAATCCACTGGGCATGGAGCTTTTGGGGCCCCACAGCAGGCGCCACAACTATGAATCCAATGGAAAGCGAGAGGTGGGAGGGCTGCTGGATTTTAGCGTCGCCCAGGGCACCAATGAAATTTGAGGTGCCAGGGTCTGCCACTCCCCTATATCACATTTTCCCCCTCTCTGCAAAAGTAGAGTTTAATGCAAGGAGGAAACAGCTGTGCCAAAGAGGAGAACCAAGGACTCTGTCAGCCAGCAAGTGCAAAAGACAAACACACAGAACCCCAGATGCCTTGAGCAGGGATTACCGTATTTTTCGCTCCATAAGACGCACTTTTTCCCTCCTAAAAAGTAAGGGGAAATGTGTGTGCGTCTTATGGAGCGAATGCAGGCGGGAAAAGCCTCCAAGAGCCGCACACATGCTCCGTGGGGGCTTTTCCCCGTGTCAGTCCCTTCTCCCTCCTCGGGAAAAAGCCCTCTTGGGGGCTTTTGCGGGAATTTCCTCACCTCATAGAAAAGCCTGCAAGAGCCGCACACTCTTTAAAGGGTGTGCGGCTCTTGGGGGCTTTTGCGGGAGGTGGGGAAAGGGACAGAGGGCAGCCCCTCAGTCCCTTCCCCTACCTCCCGGAAAAGCCCCCAAGAGCCGCACTCCCTTTCACAAGCCGCGTGGAGCGTGTGTGAGGCTCTTGGGGGCTTTTCCCTCCTAGGGAAAATCCTGCAAGCGTCGCACACACGCTCCACACGGCTCATGAAAGGGAGCACTGAGCAGAGCCTGGGATGCATACAGGCTCTCGTCAGCGCTCCCTTTAAAAAAAAAAATTGTGGCATTCCCCCTCTAAAAACTAGGTGCTTCTTATGGTCAGGTGTGTCTTATGGAGCAAAAAATATAGTACATTCCACCTCCTTCTTTGCTTTGGACACATCGCACATGCGCTCAAGGCTTAGCAGTTGGCCAGACTGTCGCTCAATGACAGAACATCTGCTCTGCACGCAGAAGATCACAGGTACAACCCCCAGCACCAACAGATTCTGTCTGAAACTCTGGGGAACCTTTTGCCAAGGTACTGAGATGAATTGGGCAATGGACAGAAGGCAAATTTCTTATCCAAAGAAGTCCCGCTCCATCAACTCTTTTTAGTAAGGCCCTTCAAACACACCAAGAGCTCACCTGCAGCATACATCAAATGGGTCGACCCAAATGGTCATCTCCTTTGGTAATCCAAGGTTGCTGAAGTCGACGTTGCTCTCCAAACATGCCCGCTCCAGCAGAGGGTCTCTTGGGTTGAACTGGTTTATCCTTATACACCTGGACAAGCAGAAGAGAATAGAAGAGGTATCCTGGGTGGCCCATTGTACCTCCTCTTCTATAGTCCACACACTACAATAATATCAACTTAGCACTGGGGACACAAGTGCTGTGCAATCCACCCTCAGCCCAAATTAGCCCCACCTGAACTAGGGAAGGCTGCAGTGGCTCATGATTCCCATTATGCAACGGGAACAGGCTGCACATCCATCCCTTGGCACCTGCTGTGCATATTTTACATGGGGGAGAAGATGGCACAACTTTTTTGGTGCAAAAGACAGCCATGACCCAAGGCTTACATGGTCCCAGCTCACACACCAGACAAAAGCAGGATGGCACCAATTCAGTACATAAAATGCTAATGATTATCTGCTTGTGATCTCTTTCATGGTGGCATCCGTGTTACAGGATGCAGACCGTGATGAAATACAAGATGCCTCATCTGTATTGGCATGCCGTAGGCTTTCAAAGACACACCTGTTTACACACGCATCCCCTGAGTCTCTGAACCCAAGTCTTAATTGCTGTGATGTTTTCATGGGGTTATTTTACTGTGCATTTATGGATCTTTGTATTTTAATGCTTGTGTGATTGGTTTTTATACCTGTAAACGGCTTGGAAGACTATTTCGGCATTGAGCAGCACATAAATTATAAATAGCAATACTGGTAGCGCTGTTGTAGAGCCAGAATAATATACACCTAGGCATTCTTTCTTGAGAGTTTCAATGCAAACAAGTTGACACATCCCTGAATATTCAGTTACTTGACACCAGGTGCTTGGGTTTGTGATTTGGCACCTGCATTTTGCTGCCCAACATTTCATCTTTGACAGATTGTAAGACTTCCTCTCTCTTGACACCTGGCAGGCATCAAATATCATCAAAGTCCAATACACAGGTTTAGAGGCAGAATTTCACATTTGAGGTGTTGCCCTAACCGTACAATTTTCAGGCAGTATTCAATCACATACTGGCAAATTCAGGTTGTGCAGTTATAACTGATTTGGAGGTCTTGCACAACAAACCCACCTCCCCTAAAAGATCAAGGGGTTTATTCCCCATAAAGAAATTGATGGGGGAAATGCAGTCAGAAGTGTGGGGTAATATTTGCTTGGTGTGGTGTCATCTAACTTCCCCTCAAACAAATTATTTATTCCTATTCTTATTTATTAAATTTGTATAGATCTCAGGACGGTTCACAAATTTGAATGAATGCTCAGCAGGTTGTCTGCAAGCACCCCAGGTATTGTGTTTCAGTTGAACACCATCTCAGAGAGAACCCCTGAGCAACACAGAGAGAGTGCAAAAGCCATTGAAGACACTGCTGGAGTTATGAAGCCCTAGAGAAATTGTGTAGGCTGGTCCATTAGGGTAGACAGGACACTGCCCCACCAATCTCAGTTTCCCTCAGCCAGCCCCCACATGCTTGCCTTCTCACTTACAGCTCATCCAGGGAATGGCGCTGCTTGTCAACTTCCTCCTCCCTGAGTCTCAGCATTGCCCTTGCAGGACTTAGCAGAGAGAGGGAGGATGGGGACAAAACCTGAAATTAGGGACTCTGCTTGTCATGGGCTCTAGTGCCACCTACTGTTGGGCTCCCTGCCTTCTGCCCTACCAATCACAATGAGCACCAGCCACCACTGGAGACATGCAAGCCCCCCATTTTGCACAAGATTTAGGCAAGGGATGCTTGGGGGTTGCATAGGGGCGACTCACCTGAAGGCTTGCCCTTTTGAAGGCTTGTCAGGGTACCAGTGGCTCTTGTACATCTCAAACATAGCTGCCATCAACTTGGACGCAAACTTCTCCATTTGCTGCTTAGTCAGCACATTGTGCTTCTTCACTAAGCGTGTGATGAAGAAGACCGTGGCAGCTATTTCATCCTTCATGTCTAGATAAGCCTCTGGATTGAAAATACAGCTGGAGAAAAAGGAAATGTGGGAGACGTGAGTTCTGATGACACATTTAAGGGTCCCCTTGTCAACAGTCATTATTTCCCTGCCATCATACGAGGCTTCCGCCTTTTTGAAGAAGCCCTTTCATCAACCAGGTTGTGGCTTCTTCCACTGAAAAATGGGTGCCCTGGCCCTGCTACAAGTTCATACAATATACAATGCAAGTGTTTCCCACTTTGCTTGCAATCTCTGTGTTTTCTCCCCCGCAGTGCCACACCCCATTAAATTTAGACACTTTCACAGCCATTTTGTACAGTGGGCCAATTCTCTTTCCTGGGAGACATGGGTAATGGTTTACTCCTCACTATAATGTGATCATTATACATAGTAATGGTACTTCAACCCTGGGTGCATGGGAAAGAGTAACACACAAAATAAAACCTTCAGGAACAGATGCTGTCAGAGGAGAACAGCCAAACCTCTAGCTATATTTGGTACTGATTCATCATTATTTATATATTAATAATAATAATAATTTTTATTTATACCCCGCCCTCCCCAGCCAAGGCCAGGCTCAGGGCGGCTAACAAGCAATAATAAAAACAAGTTGAATGGATACAAGTTAAAAACAAGATTAAAATACAGCATTAAAACATTAAAATGCAGTCTCATCACAGGAGGAGAAAGGAAAAAGAAAGAGGGGGAGGGAATCAAACTGGCTCCAAGCCAAAGGCCAGGCGGAACAACTCTGTCTTACAGGCGCTGCAGAAAGAAATCAGATCCCGCAGGGCCCTGGTCTCATGAGGCAGAGCGTTCCACCAAGCCGGAGCCAGTGTTGAAAAGGCCCTGGCTCTGGTTGAAGCTAATCTAACTTCCTTAGGGCCCGGGAGCTCTAGGGTGTTGCTATTTATGGACCTTAAGGTCCTCCGTGGGGCATACCGGGAGAGGCAGTCCCGTAGGTACGAGGGTCCTAAGACTTTATCCCACCTTTTCCCTCCAAGAAGCTCAAGACGGCATGCATAGGTGTCCCTGCCCCAGGGACCTTCACAGGTAAGCAGGGGTTTGAACCTTGCTCTCACAGGTGCTAGTCTGACACTTTAATCCAAACTTTTCGTATTGGGGATACACGTTTTCAACATGCATCATTTCGTGACAGGGTAACTCAGATTTATTAGCAAACTGGAGGTTAGACTAACCCCTTTCCAGCCCCAGGAGGAGCGTGGGGAGCACTCACTCAACACACCTACCCCCTGCAGCCAACACACTAATGTGTCACAACACACAGTTTGCTTTAAGCACTGTCCTGCTCTAGCCAAATGTAATTCTAATGCAAGCCTCAATACTCACCAGCTTCACTCTCAGAGGAAAGAGACTCCAGTAAAAAAGAAGGGGAGAAGCTATTAAACTTTGGGGCCAGTTCAATAGCTGTAGTGCTTTTCCTTTTTGCTCTTACAGCTACCCCTCTTAACCACCTGCAGCTCTTTTGCTAGCAAAACAACTACTGCTACCTTCCTTCTGGCTTATATAAGCAGGACTTAGAGTAGCTAAGGTTGGCTTTCAAAGGAGGTGTGTGTGCATAAAGCAAGGATAGGGCCTGTTTCTGAAGAAATCTCCATCTCAGGTCCTGATACCTCAAAACCCTCTCTCTTGAGAGGCTTGAAGGCAGTGAGGAAGCAGAATTATTTCCCCACATGCAACCCAATCATATTGTGTGCATTGACTCAGAAGCAAGCCCAGCTGAATCCAGGAGGACTTGCTCCCAAGTAAGTGTGCATTGGATTGCAGTTTTTAGGATTCTGCACACACACACACACACACACACACACACACACACTGATCATGTTCCTGTGACTTTAACAGCAGCCTGACATGCAGAAATTAAAGAGGCAATTCTCTTCCTGGTATGGATATATCAGCATTGGGAAAAGCTTCCAGCCTCAGCTTCTGCGTGTTCAGGGCCTCTCCAGAGATTTTATATTCTGCTTTCTGCTCATGATCTCACTGTTTGCACTTGGATGAGTTTCAGGGTGGACATACTACCTTTTAATTTTTGCTATTAGTGCATGTGCTGCAACTTCCTGCTGAAATCCTGTAGCTTTTCATAAGACAAATGTTCCAGGTCCCCCTTCCACTCCAGCTTTCGTTGAGCTGCAGCTCAGGAGTGTCCCTCTGGAAGGCAATAATGCAGTAATAACAGGGAAGCATCAAAGAACACAAAAGAAAGCAGGACGATGTGTGCAGATGGTCCAGTATAAATCTACCAGCAATGCTCTATAACTGTGTCAATGGCATGTTGCAGAAATATACCTGCAAAGAACCTCACCTATCTGGTGGGTTCCTCTGACAAGTCACCCCCACTGTGTTCAAGGGAACTTTTTAAATTTTCCTTCTTTTTATTTAACCCATGAGATTTATACACTATACCACTTGACTGTAATAAAACCTAAGCCCTAGGATCTCAGCCTTCTTTGGATGCTCCTTTTATTCAGTATACCTGAAGGAGCGCCTCCACCCCATCACTCTGCCTGGAGACTGAGATCCAGCGCCAAAGGCCTTCTGGCGCTTCCCTCACTGCGAGAAGCCAAGTTACAGGGAACCAGGCAGAGGGCCTTTTTGGTAGTGGTGCCCGCCCTGTGGAACGCCCTCCCATCAGATGTCAAAGAAATAAACAACAATCTAACATTTAGACGACATCTGAAGGCAGCCCTGTTTAGGGAGGTTTTAATGACTGATGTTTTATTGTATTTTTAATCTTGGTTGGAAGCTGCCCAGAGTAGCTGAGGAAACCCAGCCAGATGGGCAGGGTATAAATAATAAATTTATTATTATTATTACAGTGGTACCTCTGATTGAGTACTTAATTCGTTCCGGAGGTCCGTTCTTAACCTGAAAGTGTTCTTAACCTGAAGCACCACTTTTAGCTAATGGGGCCTCCTGCTGCTGCCACGCCGCCGGAGCACAATTTCTGTTCTCATCCTGAAGCAAAGTTCTTAACCTGAGGTAATATTTCTGGGTTAGCGGAGTCTGTAACCTGAAGCGTTAGTGGAGTCTGTAACCTGAAGCGTATGTAACCCGAGGTACCACTGTATTATTATTATTATTATTATTATTATTATGCATATTAGGCTTTTAAAAGCCATGGAAATCCTTCTACAGCAATGTTTCTGTAGAAAGATGCCCCGAGTTGGAAATTTGCATGTGTTCCAGTGGTCAAGAAGAGAGAAAGAGACAGGCCTCCTGTCCTTTTAATATTTGTGCAGGATAGGCCATTTCAGCAGGTGTATCTCTGGTCATGCAATTCACACCTGTTGAAATCTCCTTGTCTGCACACCTCTTAAAGGGGTAGGAGGGCCTTGTCTTCTTTTGGGGGAGTCAAGGAGTTGTGGCCAGTGCGATATAGCTGCCCTCCCAGAACCGGACTGGTGCCACCGATCCGTGTGTCTATTAAGGCAAATGGAACACTGCCCCATCAGCTTGGCCAGCCTGCACTTAAAAGTGCACTGCCTGTTGGCTTCCCCCGCCATGGTCTCTGTGTTGCTGTTTGTAGAACCCAGCAGAGAAGCGTTTGGCCCCAGCACTAGGCTGAGTTGACTCTGCATGTCATTGCCTCTGGAACCACCTGGCGTGGGTCTCCCTGGCATCAGCCCTGCCAGGACCCATTTGCACCAGCAGCAACTGCTGTCAGCACAGCCCTGGTCTCACCATTACTTGGCCCTATTCTGGTAAGTTTCAGCAACATCAGTGTTGGGAAGCTGGTGATGAGTAGACTCACTGAAATTAATGTCATTCTCATATATATATATATAGTTTTAATTTTTCTACATTTCAAAATACAGTGGTACCTCGGTTTACATACGCTTCAAGTTACATACGCTTCAGGTTACAGACTCCGCTAACCCAGAAATAGTGCTTCAGGTTAAGAACTTTGCTTCAGGATGAGAACAGAAATCGTGCTCCAGAGGCGCAGCTACAACAGGAGGCCCCATCAGCTAAAGTGGTGCTTCAGGTTAAGAACAGTTTCAGGTTAAGAACGGACCTCCAGAACGAATTAAGTACTTAACCCGAGGTACCACTGTAAACATTTTACAAACTTTAAAATAACCAGTGACTTCCCTTCTTCTCCTTCCATGGTTCATATTACTTATCATACTTTCCTGCATATTTTGCTATAACCATTCAAATCAATTTCCCACTTTTGCATCAATTGAATATTGTTTACTCTGTTGAATTTATCTGCAATTATCATCAAGATGGCATTGTGATCAGATAATGTCTTCGGTTGTATCTCAATCTTTTTAACCCTAGTTATTAGTTCTTTTGAGGCCCAAATATGATCTTTTCTACTTGAAGAATTATTAGCGTTTGAGAAAAAAGTGGATTTGCATTCTAATGGAGGCTTAACATGCCATAAATCAATTAAATCAAAATTGGACACCATGTCAAAAAAAACAAACCATTTGGTAATTTCCTTCTTTTGAATCTGTTTTCGAGACTAATAATTTATTTATTGCATTAGCCGAGTGGCCATAGCATGATATACATTGAAATAACAACATGAAATGGGGGTGGGGAGGTAGAGGTAGACATCGTCCTGGGCGAATACTTAAAGAAAGTGGAAAAAAAAAAAAAGCTGCTGAGGCTGGAGGAGGACCGTTAAAGGGTCCTTCAGCTCCTCAGATTAGTCCTAACTCGATTGTCCTTGTACAATAAGGCTACTTGGAACTTCGTTCGGTTGTGCGGCGTATCGACTGCATCTGTGGTGTTAAGGAAGAAGTTAGTGCCGCTTTCCTCTTCATCACACTAAGCAGGAAATTAGCTGTCATCTCAGTAATCCAACAATCAGAATCCTGCAAAAGAGGGACACTATCCAAGGCTGGATTGGGAGATGGAACTTATTCACGAGGGAGTTAAAAACCGAGATCTTTCATCTGTCCAGTTGGGACAGAAGAGCATTACATGTTCCATAGTCTCCAGGGCCGTGTCATTACAGGAGC